AGGCGTGAGCAAACTCAATCAATAATTCGAAAAAGGGAGTTGAAGAAGAAGAGGGTGGGGATTATTTGATAAAGGAAAAAAAAGGTCCTTTTATATGTAAACATTGAAATGTGTTTCACTATTCCTCACGACTCAGCAAACGTTTGGTTCGCGCATAACTAAGTTCGGCCTAGTGATAATCAACGTAAGTGGGGAAACAGCACGTAGGGTTGAATCTCAACGGAACTACGTCTCACCTAGGCTTGTGCCTCGGGCCCTTTTTCTGGCCAATGGATCCTCGTGAGTCTGCCGGGCCAAGTATTTATCAAACATGAAAGCTCGCTGATAGATAGTGTCACTTAATTTCTATATCAACCTTTTCCCAAATGGATAACGGATATCCCCAGATTTACCATAGGCATAGCTTTCTGCCTCCAAACTCGACTGAGCCAAATCTATAAGCCACCTTAGGTGGCATTAAAATGGTGCCCAGTCTCAAGTCCACTGAAAACCCCGAGAGGAAGTCTGAATTGTCACACCACGCGTCAGGTCTCCAAAAACCTTCAACCGTACGGTATTTTCATCCAAGAAAATGGACTGTGGGAGAGGAAACGAGAATTACTGAACTCAGGCGCAAAGGATAGGGATAGACCGCCATAAGTAAAGAGCTTCCCGGAAGAACTTCTATTGCATGCCGGCTTCACTTTCGGAATGTTTTGGAGCCAAAAAATACACTGGAATGAAGAGGGGAAGACCAAATTTGCTCGGTTATACGACCGGTATATGCTGAGAGAAAGCCCCCTCAACTTGATCCCGCTGATCCCTCGAAAATAATGAGTAGATTCAAAATGGAAATGTGGTCGTAAGTAGCTTTGCAGATGGGCATCCCTTGGCGTGCGGCCGAGGCCATGCATTGGCAGTTAGGGGAGCACGGCATTTCTTACAGAAGATCTGGTCTCACGCGATCGGATACCCACGATTTTCCGGAGAGCCCAGTTATGGGAAGCTTATTGAAGCCCCCGGCCTGCACATCTAAAGCGCCTTCCCGAAAAAAAAACATCGAGAATCAGTCTGCCCTCCTTCAAAGAAGCCTTCCCTGATCTCCCCGATGAAAAATGGCGCAGTCAACGTCCTATGCGCAGGGCTTACTCAACTGAAAAGCCTAATGATCCAAACTGTTCCCAATGGCGTTAGTCTGCCCTTCAATTGTTCTCTTTTTTTGATGATGTGAAGGAAAAGATAATAGCAATGTAGAATGAGTCTCGAGTGATATTTCACTTCAGTTATATGCTCTCATCTACTCGGCCTCGGTGAGGTTTCTTTCTTCATGTACTCAGGTTTGTCTAACACGAAGGAGTTAGCCAATCCTATTTGCTTTGTTGGCTCACTGCCCAGGAAAATAGACTACCATTTTGCTCAGATGCCTCAGGACGCCAGGTCCATTCTGGTACACGGAGACATGTAAACTGCATATCGCTTCAGAAGTTTATTGGAAACATCCTTCCTTAAACCCAGAAAACACATGTCGATATCACAACCTTCCGCAGGCTTAGTATGGCAACTTGGAGCTATGAAGCAAATTAGTGACTGAGATATTGTTCTGGTCAAAGTGCATACCGTCGTGAATTGGACCCACAGACATGGTCTTATACACACGAGTATTGTTGTGCCTAGGGAATAAAGGGAAAACACAATTGACCCAATTGATGCCACCCAGTGAGCTTTATGGTGCTTGGGAGCCGTGGGGCCTGGATGTCGCCAAAATAAATTGAACGTAGTGGTTGCTATAGACATGGGCTTCATGCATATAAACCAAGATTGAATGAATTGCGCATGAATAAAGCCTTGACTGGCTAGAATCATGGACGTGAATAATGTAAGCAAAATATTGCGATGCTGCTGAAATGTTTTGTTAACGGGAAACATCTTATGTAGCGACGAATTCAAACTTGCCGACTGATAAATGGTCAAAGACAAAACGACCATTGCACTGACAAAAAATAAGCCGGCAATCATGTGAGTCAAATGTGACTGCAAAGTTGATATACACAGATACTATAAAAGAGTATCAGTATCGCCCTCATTCTTGCTCACTGCACTTACCTCGTTCAAAACGAGCAAAAGCAAAACAAAGCCAATTTCCATAGTAGACATCGAACGTGGCAGATCTAGCATCGGGTTAGGACAATTTTATATTGCTGAACAAATTGATCTGCGTACCATTATCAGAGTCCGTCGTTTTAAATGCGAGTACCATGGACGTAATTGAGCCAAGGATAATAATGCCACCTATTATAATCTGGCTATAAATGAGTGGACTCTTGCTCCGCTTTGTCTGGCTTAAAGCCTTAGTGTATAGGAGCCAGAATGCAAGACTTGAGCCAGAGCAAAGCATTGCTGTTGTTGATGCAACCACTTGGAATATTAGGTCCAGCTCCATTCTTTTGATATCAAGTTTACGAAGATTTTTGGTTATAGTCCATGGCACCAGCCATTATTTAAATAAAGATAGTGGCAGGCTTGCTTAGTATAGAGTTTTGACAGTGAAGTTTGAGAAATATCGCTTGATGGATACAAAGGTCATTTATTACTAACATGTTGAAAGATGGAAGAGGTGAGAACCAAATCCCATTAAAAAATTGAGGGTAATACACTTCTGAGAGAGTGCGGATGATGATCCGCTGATAATGACTCCGCGGACAATCATCCCAACCAGGTATAGCGGCTTTCGTAGCTATGAATTAGCTATTGAGAAAGCAAATCGGGATACAACTCATTATCCGATAACTCTCAAGAAGATGCCACTTATCATTTTCTACTCAGACAAGGTGACATTGACATGCAAAATGTAGCATAATCTGACTCAACGCGACGTCAAACATTCGCCGATAGAGACAGGAAACACCTGGAGATCACTTAGATCTTCGTTCAAGACCCTGGCAACCTGCTGAATGGAAGAATCTGAAAGGTTGCACTAGTCCACTTCGGTCTGGATCAAGTCGCTGGCAACCTTCATGATCGAATCAGTGGATGAGATGATCAACCCTTGACTGTTTTAGAGCCCGCGACCCGTGTACATCGATATCGTCGTAGAAAAGCTGATGAAGTTAGATTTTAACGGAGCCTATCTGGGCTGCTTGCAACTGCCGTGAAGTCTCTAAGTCATTTGGTGACATGATGGAAACATTGAATAATTAAAAGAATACACTAACAAACTACCTAGTGAAGAGGATTGGAGCATATTGGAGGCACGGATAGCCACGAAGAAACAACATGCTGCTTCGTTCTTCTCTTCTCTTAGTCATAGTGTTACATGCCTAAATAATGTAGCATTGGTTAAAACCGTCGTAACGTTAAATATTTGATATTAGTATTGATTACAAAAATGACAGCCTTTGAAGGTCACGTAACCTCAGGAAAGCACCCCTAGTCTGCTTCAAAGGTGACGTTGGGTATCTTTGAAAGAATGATGTCAAAACTGTTTCTTGTACTTTTACCAATCCAAGCGACCGTGATTCCTCCTCACCGCTCTTGTCCTTTAAGAGAATAGTAATGGCAATGCTCACAAAGAGTCTTCGTACCAAATTTCACGTATGGTCCCTTTTAGCACGGAAAGTTGAATAGCGTTTCGAGTGTCTGTCTGAGTGAGACTATGGGAGGGGCTAGAACTTTCTGGACAAGCTCCTCTATAGAAGAATATGGAAATTGCCCAAGGTCAACAGGGAGGGCCATGCGACAAGGCAATCTCTTGAACCAATCCAATATTTTTCATTCTGCCCATGGAAGAGCTTTCAGTAAATGTTGAGTGTGCGGTGGCGTACTGTACCTTTGTAACGCTTCAACGACACATACTCGGTATGTCCCTGTTTAGAGTATAGTCTTTAACCTTGCTACGGACAGTGTTCTGGCTGTACTTAGCCCCCCCGGGTCGAAGGCGGACATAAGAGAGTCATTTCGGTATTATTACCGAGAAGGGAATATCAGGATTTCCCTCGGTGACCGAAGACTGTCATTATGACGGAAAAACTGCTTCTTATTCGGTTATTCATATAAATTGGACTTGTAGAGACAGGGATCGCTCCGGCATGTTTGGGGGCGAGATTCCAAATAACCGGAACCGAATGTCCCCGACCTGTTGACTCCCGCCAAGAACAATCGTCAGTTACACCACCTGCCAAGCCACCATATGGAGTGAAGTGCGCGGTCAAAATACGAAGGCGAGCCTCTCCCCATAATATTCTGCATATGGTGCCTAATATGTCTAGATGCTTACATTTCATAGCCGGTCTTTCTCGGCCACTTCCTTGGAACGGAATGATATTTATAATGTATTTAAACTAGATACCCCTTCCACGAGTAGAATAGCTTATTGCCTTCCTCGTTATATATCTATAAATTGACATTTAAAGCCAAGAATCCGTATAGGCTAACCCAGCTATTATTCTATCCCTAAACCTATTTAAATCCCTACTCGATCTAATAATACGAAGTGCTTCGCTTAAATTCTCCTTCCCGAAGAGGTCGTAGTTCAAGAATTAGACCTTATAGGCTATGTTTAATCCAAGGCAGATCGCCCGGCCCCTACAGCAAACAATACGCCAAGCCACGACGATCCCGAGTTAGGGTAAGCAGAGTACTCCATAGTCCAGTTCATAGGCTTCTACCTAGTAGCTAGTTTCGCAGCTCATGAAAATGGCCCCCGCGAGCACGTTACATCCATGCCCTCGTTTGCGCTAATTCTGTTGATACAATACAGTCGGGCTGTCCGTGACCCGACGATCACCATAGCCACTCTACAGTCTCCACTCTATATAATAGGGGCCATTTTGAGAGCGACGATACGAGGTACAATGAAGTGTAATATACCAACCGGCAAAGGTATAAATACCCTCATCAGAGACTCCCAAACGCTCCTCATCTTCTCAGATCATTCAGTTAGAGCAGTCCAACACAGCCCTTTTTCAAATACCTTAACCTCAACCTCAACTTCAATCTTCCACAAAGCGCAAGACATACTGAAAATGCGCTGGCAACTCCCAACAACTCTTCTACTCTCCGCCCTCAGCGCGACCCCCGCCCTGGCCGGACAGGAAGTGGTCGGCATTTGGAGCAGCTCAACCTTCAGTACCAGTGGCAAAACAGGCACACACGACTTCTCCGCCGGCTTCGCGCTGGTTAACCAGGACGGCGAGAGCATCTACAGCGAAGAATACCCGGACGGGTACATCCCGTGTACCCATGTTGGTCAGGAATTCCAGCTCGAAAAAGGATGTTTCGGCGGGGCATGGTACTCGTTCCGGTGCCAGTCAACCCAAACCGGCATCCCGCAGCAGTGTGAGGTGAGGGGACCGGAGGGGAACACTGTCGGGACCGGTAAGGGTGAAGATCAAACGGATTTCTTCGGGGTGGGAATTGCGAAGTCTGGCGCTTGCAGAGTGAAGTTCGAGTTGGTGGATGGGATTGCCTGTGGCGCGGACGCAGCGGGTTTTTCAGCGCATCATAGCGAGTTCTAGGTGTACCGGTGAGATTCCGCAGCCACTGCTCTGAGGTTTACCCACTAGACCAAAAGGTCATAACCAAGTCAATTCATGGAATTGACTTCGTTGCAGTGGTATATATATTGTGGTTCTCCATACATAAGGATCACACACCTTATGGGATCACAAGAGCTTCCCTTTCTTCTTCTTCTTCTTCTTCCTCTATAGTTGATATTCTTTGATAAATATACTCGCTTCCAATCCTCTAATTCCACTAGAAGTTTGATAAGCCGATCTAGCATGTAACACTTATTTCAAGAGCTGGTATCGTGGTATATACTATACAATCCGGGCTTATAACTATCGGAATAAGTGATTTCTATAATATATAGGCTAATCAAGCGATATCAAAAAGTCTACATTTCTCACCCCTATTTCTTAGGTAATTTATATGGAAATTAGATTATATAATCCATGTCTTCGGTTCAGCACTTGTAAGTCGAGCGCCAACATCAGGACAGGAGGATGACTAAAAGTGCTGGTCGGGTGCAGAATAGAGGTGTTACTGGGCAGTGGGCGGTCAAGGGGAGGCTGGACGTCCAAAGTTACGGGTGGAAAAGCAGCCGTTTCTGGCCTCAAAAGCGGTCATTTTCGGCCTCAATCCCACAGGTCCCCATATTCTAGTTGTAATTTAAACATATTCCTAACTATCGAAAACCAACACCAAGATATATTAAACGGCTTCGACCCACAGAAAACCCGTTTAGTTGAACCCTTATGGAGCCAGCCATATTGGGGCAAGACAACGTATCTGTTACGGATAATCCACTAGTCAGGGTAGATGCCTGTCAATCAGGTAGGAAAAGGGTATCAATATGCGGGTTCCAAGTCAAAGACTGTTTCTTACAGAACCCTCAGGCTCCTTCTATCTCTTCTTGGTTATATACATCTTTTCCTTCGGATAAGACGGCAAGAGAATGTGATATATTGAGCGGGGAAATCAAATGGGGGGTGGGGTAGAGATTTGCAAGACAAAACCGGTTTCAACGCCGGCAGGGTTCCTTTCCTGAATGGATATCGAAAACCCGGGGTTTCACCGCCGTGGCCCCGGGATTCTACCTGGCCCATAAACCTAAGGCAGTACCAATAGGCCTGAGGCACCAATACACGTATAACCTCATGATTGAAGATATCGTGACAGTATCATTCGGCACAGCAGACACTTCCAACGGTGGTCTGGTCAAGTCCGTTTGGTTTCATCACAGTAGCCCATTCGTTTATATCGCGCAGGAAACGACGGGCTGTTCCAATTTGGATCCCTCGCTCAACGAAAAAGCCAGAGTCTGGATCCTCAAGAATCAGTTCAAGATCTAGGTGATTTTCCAAAGTTACTTGGCATATTTTGCGGAAACCAGCTTTATACGCCTCATCGGTGGCGCGTGATTCTAACCACTCGCAGTATTCCCTTACAGCCACTTCACGAGGCCCAGGAATAATGACGTGCTCATCAGATGAAGCATTGTGTAGAGAGGAACTGACTATGGGGGTACTGCCGTTTTGTGCCGGCAGAACATTAATGATGGTCGAGGGATATGATGGTCCGTTTGTCACGTCAGTCTTTCTCGATTTCCTTTCTTTCTGACTCTCCAGAACGAGGTCCCGACGGATATCATTAGGAACATCATCATGGGTGTCTAGGCAGCCACCACCATCAACGTAGTCAATCAGTCGTTCTAGATGTGCCACAGAACCCACTTTGGTATTTTGAAGGAACGAAGTCAAATTGATTCAATACTGACTAAGTCGACATACTGTTTACAAAAAGCTTGGAGAAGGGAAGGAATGAAGCAAGCAGGACAATAATAAGGATGATGGGCAAGGCGGTGGCAGAACTGTAACGGGCCAGAGCCCGGCTTGGATCACGTGAGGCACGTGCCCACAACATACATAAACCCCCATCGCCAGTAGATAGTTACCTTTTCTCCAAGATTGATGTAAACAGCATGTTGGCCTAGCCTAAAAAATGTGGCCCTCGCTACTTCGAACGGCCGAATTTGCCTGTAATAACGCGGTCAGCGCGACAACAGGAATATCTCCGTTTCAAGCACTACTTGGATTCAATCCGAATTTTCAAATACGCGCCGAGGACGGCAGCGTCGAGAGGGAAGCGCCAGCAGCATTATCTCGTCTCGAAAAGCTAACAGAGCTCCGAGAAAAACTGCAGATTTCGTGGCGAAAAGCCACCGAAGCACAGGCGACACATTATAACAAACGCCACACCGAGATATCGTTCAAGAAAAACGACCTCGTGGTCTTGTCAACAAGAAACTTACGCCTAAAAGAAGGGACCACCAAGAAACTATCCCCAAGATGGGTAGGGCCTTTCTTTTAGGCGTAAGTTTCTTGTTGACAAGACCACGAGGTCGTTTTTCTTGAACGATATCTCGGTGTGGCGTTTGTTATAATGTGTCGCCTGTGCTTCGGTGGCTTTTCGCCACGAAATCTGCAGTTTTTCTCGGAGCTCTGTTAGCTTTTCGAGACGAGATAATGCTGCTGGAAGCGTGCGGAGACAGAAGGCTATATGGCAGGGCCATATAGTAGGAAGCGGGTCTAACCCGTTACAGGAATACCATGTCTCAATCGGGTTTCGTTAGCGAAACTGGTATAACCCATACATGCGCGGGTTTGGATATCACTGTCTAACACGTCAAGCTATTGGGAGAGAGAAATGTTCTAGAACTCCTGTAGTGTCCATAAGTCTGTGCATCCCTGGCAGGACGCATACTTTCGAGTATATCAAGTCCGATATCGGCCCCGTTATACTACCTCCAACACCTAGCCACTACACAGAAAAAAAAAACATATAAGACAGCCCACCAGACTTCCCAGTGACCAGGAAATCATTAAAAATCTCACAAGGAACACAGCCCTTGACACATTCTCACGTGTTGATGAACTATCATTTCTCTTCCTAACTCACATTCAACGCCAAGACTACGACTTCCCCACTTCTCCATACTTCGATCTAGTACACCATGGCGTCCAATACCGAGGGTCCTAAAGACCACTGGTCAGCCGAAGTATGTATTCATCACACAGATGTATGTGTATGAATCATCATTAACACAGCCTAGGCATATTCCACCTCCGCATCATTCGTGCACTCCGCGAAAATCACCGGCAAACTCCTCACCTCCTTGGACCCCAAGCCAACAGACAAAGTCCTTGATGTCGGCTGCGGTGATGGAAAATTCACAGAGAATTTCCTTCCGGCCATAGAATCTGTCTTGGGCATTGACTCGTCTGCGTCCATGATCGAGTCTGCCAACAAAGACTACGCAAGTTCGAAGGCCAGTTTCCGCGTTGTGGATTGCCGGTACCTAGAGAAAGAAACCTCCATCGTGAATGGATCATGGGATAGAGTGTATGTTTTTGATTATGATACATAGTACACGGTGTATGTAACTCGACATTTAACACCCCGGCAGAATCTCCAACGCAGCCCTCCACTGGATCTTACGCGATGAATCGACGCGCATGTCGACACTCCGCGCAATCCACGGCTGTCTGAAGCCGGGTGGCACATACGTGTTTGAAATGGGTGGACATGGTAACGTTGCCGAGATGAAGACGGCTCTTGTCTATGCACTGGTGCAGCAGGGTATTCCTATCGAACAAGCCAGAGAGACTAGCCCTTGGTTCTTCCCATCTGATACCTGGATGAGAAATGCGCTGGAAGAGATCGGGTTCAAGGTTGAAAACGTCGAGCTCGAGTACCGCCCAACAAAACTCACGACTGACGCTAAGGGTGGTTTGGAAGGATGGGTTAGACTGATGGGAGCCCAGTTCCTGGAGGTGCTGCCCGAGGAAAAGCGAGATGCTGCAGTACAGCAGGTTTGTGATGTGCTCCAGGACGTGGTTACTCGTGCTGAAGATGGGAGCCAGTGGCTGGGATATGTGCGACTGAGGGGTATTGCGACAAAGATCCAATGATTTACAGGACTTGCGTTGGAAAGGGTTCAGTTAGCAGATTGCTGCTTCCGTCGCTGAATGAGAACACCAAGAGGAATATTTTCCTCATCATAGAACTCTGCTTCCTCATCCACTCCAAAGTCACGTAGTCGTTCTCCTTCGGCGTTCCGCCATGACTCTTCGCCCTCGTCTAAGTCACCCTCAGAGTCAGACTCGGACTCGTCGCTATCGCTTTCGGCGTAGTCGTCTTTTTTGTACCGATCGTGAAATGGTTTCCGACGTTGTAGACCTGGAGTTTGCTGGAATCGCTTCATGTCTTCCTGTTTGCGACGGTTGAAGGCATCGATCTCGTCCTGAATAGTTGCGTACGTAGGCATGCTGATATTGCTAGGTGGCCTTGCGCTGACCGGCATCGGGATTCGATCTGGATCCGGAGGTGGCCATGATACACCAGGATCTAACAAAAATGATCAGTAATCGAACAGCTAGAATACTGACTCATCCACTCACCCTCAAAGTCATTGGTCTCGAATTCCCACCCAGACCTACGATCAGGCGTTGCGGCCAGTGGCCAGAACCAGCTTATGACCTAAAGAAACATTAGCTTACGTCTTGGCGTGCCTAGAATATTTAGACCATGAACAGGCTCACTCACATTCGCGCTCCCACCCATGCTCTGCTTGATGTTGGCCCAAATGCCAATGTCGTATGGGTATTCCTGCTTTTTTATGGGAACTCGAATTCCCCCAGGGCCCTCAAGATACCCGCCTAGCACACGGGCTCGACGGACAAGAGTAGCATGTCTCTCAATTTCCCAAGTTTCAATGGTGGTGGTGTTAGATCCAATCGCCCAGAGGCTCCTAACCAGGAGAACAAAGAGGCCGAAAGTTGTAAGACTATTAACCACAAGCAGTATAAATAAGTGGATGAGCTGCCCCAATGTAGGACCCATATACTGTTCATCGTTAGCAACATGAATGGTGAAGTACTCGAGTTACTTACGCTTGGCAGATGACTGTTCTTCCACACAAATGAGGCCCGCTGCCAGAGAAGAGTCTCTAGATAGGACATCCCAACAGTCGCATAAAATAAAAAGCGCATGAAATGCGGGAGGGTAAAATGTGAGACGCAGTTCGATGTCCAGGGGCAATGATGATCCATTTTGGGAATGCATCTGGGAGAAGATCAGCACAAGTCTCCACATCAGGCATTCCTCTTCGAACCTTTTGCAGGTCTTGCAGTGGTGAGCGCGAGGCGGTTTATAAGCTTCGCATCTACGACACCATCGCTGGCGACCAGCGAGTGCAGCACCTTCTTGCTCCTTGGGTTTCGGCCGCTCTTCAGCCTTGGGAAGTCGGCCGGGATCTACAAAGCATGTTCGGTAATAGCATATCCAGATACACAGGGCGAAAATATTGATTTTCCAAGTTTCGTCCCTGGTGAGTGGCACAGACTCAAAGTGCAGAAAGAAGTACTGTGATGTGTAGGCGAGAAAGGCGATCAGCACACTGACTGCAGGGATTGCGAGCTTAGATATTGAAAAGTCCTCGCCCAACATTTCAGCCATCTGAGTGAGCAAGGCTGAGAAGCTGCAGAGGTGTGAAGTTGGACGTGTTGTTTATCGGAACCCCGAGGTGTGGCTGTGCTGACTAACGAGGCTGTGTCGGTCCCTCGTGGAATGACATGTAGGTTTGGTCCAGGCTTCTATACAACGATAGGATCATGAAAGGTTGTGTGGTCAAGGATCTTTCATGCTGTGCTAGCTGTGGATTATACAATTTACACTTCAAACCCAAACAACCTCAATAGGGTTCAAATTTTCAACCCGATACTCGGTACTAAGCCCGTCATGTCTGAACTTTTACTAACATTTCTCCGAGAATCTTTGGCTGTGGCATGCCCACATGTGCAGGTGGCAATTGAATCCCCAGCCAATGCCGGAGAAAGGTGCGAGAGAAGCTGTTGGTCGAAACCGTATTGTGAAATGTAGGGGTTCAATCAATGGTGTTCAACTCGCTGTATTTCTGTATCGGCTCTGCTCACAATTTAACGTATTTTGACAGAAATCAAGCGTACGGTAAAAATGACAGACATTGAAGACTCTAACTAAAATGACAAAACCCGCTTTTTGAATCAATTTGTAGGTACATATTGGCTTCTGCTTTAGCTCAGGTTACTCCGGACTCAGAAGCACACCTAGCTAGCCTAGGCACACAAACCTCATTGAATAAAATTGTCTAGTTCTCTCATGATGAGAGTATGCTAAGGTTATTTAATAGGAATCTTAGATTACTTTTAGGGAAAGTTTCTCCATATAGGAACTACTAAAATAAAAGATGAGTTGGCTAGTAAGTATGGACGCTAGAATAGTAGAATATATATATCACGCCTCACACATGAAACAAAAGCAAAGCGTTGGCAACATATCAAAATCGGACACTTGTTGTCAAAATATTTCAACAACTTTAGATAATGCTACGTAATATACGTCCACGGGGACATAGGTAGTATCTCATATAGGAAAAAAAAGTATCCGGACGATGTGATATGCAGGGCTTACATGATTAATGCCTAAGGCAGAGAGGCATTTGCCAAGTAAGTGCCGGGTATTCGCTAGAAGGTGTATTATGTAATTTTAGCATACTTGACCGCACTTAAAGATAGCCAATAATAACCATGCGATTCTCTTAGTATCTTATCTGGTAGCATAAGTAACCGGGCTTGTAAGCGGTCAACACGGCGCTTCCATTTACTCACCGCCAAGCCCTCCATCCCCGTCAGATGCCCACGGCAAGTCCAAGCGCTGGCCCCGCTCAGAGCAACTCGTGATAGGAAATTGCGGAGGAGCATCACCATTGTCGGCTTGAATCGAGCTTGATGGGATTACAAATATCTATAGGCTTTTTCCTAGAATTCTCCTACAGTCGCAACCGAAACTGGCGACTACCCTTGTCGTGATTCTAAGTGCGGGGAAATGTTTTTGCGGAACGGCCGTAATGGCGCACCATATAGGGTGCTCTCTTAGCTTTCAACTGCATCGTCGTAGCGATCACCAGGGGCTCGCAATATATGGCACTCCTAGCAGTGCATGACGGCAGTGCATGACGGCAGAGGTAGCCGGTTAGCAGGTACCCATTACAGCCACTTCGGCCGACGAAGTGCGCGCCTGGGTGGCCTTACCAAGTAGATGGGAATTTCTCAGCCCGCTCTTTCCGTAGATAAGGGAGCCACTTTCTAGGTTTTTTTCTCTAATCGTTTGTGGAAGCATGGCGCTGACGCCACCAAGCCGTCACGCATGGGTTATAGCACATTCTGCATTGTAGGAAGCTCGAGAAGGCCCATGTAATGCAGGCCCATGCGTACCGTCGACTGCAGACCCCATTGAGCGTTACTGATCATGCTGGATGCAGTATAGTCTGCGAAGAAATGGCAACCATAGGCGACGTAAGATTTGTCGCGAACAAAAGTGAGACTGTGGTTTCGGCGAATGCTTTTCATCCAGGCATGATGGTACGAGAGCTTCATTGCCGGACCGAGTATGTTTCTGGGCTATTTCACCAAGGGCTGGATTTGTGAAACTTAGCTGATAAGATCTGGCCACCGGCTTCGAAATTTATAAAGATGGACTGTTCCCCCAGTCTCTTCTGGTTCTTCTTTCCCAGACCAGCCTGAGCAACAGCTACAGTCATTCAAAAGATGAAGATCTTGAACATTTCGGCAAGCGGCTTCTTCGGCATTGCCGTCCAGGCCGCAGTGCTTTCCAACGGCACTACTGAGACCAAGTTGGCGCAGATCAAGGAATTGCTCACGCCTCAGCTCTCCGAGAACGCCACGATTGTCTTTCCCGAATCCGAGAAATGGTTTGATGTTACCCATCGTGCTGCTGCTCCCCGTGTCAACCCGGGATATCTCGCCGTTGTAGACGTAGCTTCCGAGGACGATGTTGTGCATACGGTACCTGACGAGCTGTTCAAGAAAAAAAGAAACATTACCTGACTCTTTCAGATCAAAGTCGCTAATGAGATCGGAGTCCCGTTTCTGGCCGTCACCGGCACCCACGGCTGGTCCGACGATATCAGCAAGATTCAAGACGGAATTCAGATTCGCATGCGAGGCCTCAACCACGTCGGTCTTAGCCCAAACAATGACACCGCATTTGCCGGCGGCGGTGTCATTCAATACGAAGTCGTCCAGGCTCTGTATCCATATGGAAAGCAAGCTGGTAATCTCCCATCCCCTCTCATGTGAATCCCGCAGACGCAAGCCAAGAACTATCAACTGACATGCATGTTTTTACTAGTCCACGGTCTCTGCGAGTGCGTCTCCATCATGGGTCCTCTCTTGGGTGGTGGTCACAGCGTGCTACAGGGTGATCACGGTTTCGCTGCTGACACCTTAGTCTCGGCCAAGGTCGCTCTCCACGACGGTACTGTTGTCACGGCCTCGGCCACTGAAAACGAAGATCTCTTCTGGGGCCTTCGTGGTGCTGGTCACAACTTGGGTATTGTCCTTGAGTTCGAGCTCAAGGTTTTCGACATCCACCCAGATCCATGGACATACATAACCCTCGTCTATGATGCTGATAGAATTGAAGCGTACTTCGAAGTCTGGAACGAGCTCGAGGACACCATTGCCGACCCTGGCCTGGTTATTCTGAACGGTTACTACCGCAACTTGCCCGTAATCAATGCTGAGAAGGTGAGCAACTGGCCTCATCTTTATTGCCGCAGGTCACACCTAGAAGCACTTGCTAACAATGCTCAAGCCTGTTCTCGTCATGGAGCTCATCTACCAGGGTTACGACACCGCCGCTCCCCAGTATATTGAGGCCTACCGCGCCATCGGCCCCATTCATGAGGAGACCATTACCGATATCTACTGGAACGAACTCTTCGACATCACCAACTTCGGCCGCGACGACCGGGTCTGTGTCCCAAGTCAGAATTGGGCCGGCTATGTCAACTCCATCGCCCGCTGGGATCCCGCATCCATGCGCGAAAGCTACAACATCTTCGCTGATCTTGTTGCCATTGAAACCTACAACACATCCACCTTCATCTTCGAGTCGTATGGCCGCAAGGGTGTCCGCGACTTCCCCGATAACTTCAATGCAGTCTCACCGGAGGAGCGCAACAAGCACAACATGCTGGCTGCCTTCCTGTTCTGGTCCGGTGATGACGAGATTGAGCTCGCCGTTGCCCGCAAGTTCGGAGAGAGGCTCCAAGTTGCCAGCCGCAACAGAGAGATTGCTCACTCTTATGTCAACTATGCTATGGGCGGCGAGGAGCTTCTACAGGTGTACGGTCGTGACGTTGACCGCCTCGAGAAGCTCCAGGCCATCAAGACCAAGTTTGATCCTTACAACAAGTTTGGATTCTATGCTTCCCTCGCAGGCGCTTGAGGGCGAATATGAAATGACAGTGACGGTTTGGGAAGTGAAAAGACCCGGGATATATATATATATGTATATATAGACCCACCCCCTCCGTCAGTCTCTGTGTCTGTTCCTGATGAAATGCAGGCTTTTGACGATCAAAGATGCTTCACACTTTCTGATAAATATCCTCTTAGCTGGATGGTTAGCGTGGGAAGTGCCCCTTCCCAAGCTATCAGGCTAACTAATAGAGTATATACAGACGGAGATCTGCCTGTATAACAATGTAGGGTAACCTCAATGGTACTGAACTCTCTGTCTGACAAAAAATGAAAAAACCGTGAATTTAAACAATTTGTGCAGATATAGATGACAAATTGTAGTAACATGCACTTTGTATGATGACAGAAATCAAGGTATGGCTAGCGTATTGGTGAAACTCACAATGGTAAGGTTAATAACAGAAATCGGTCTGTATCAAATTGTATGGTATAATCTCAGTATATTGGAACTCTCTGACTAGCAATAAAGCAGGATGAACGCGCGAGTATAAATAGACAAAATTACTTGTCAATAATGCACTTTGGTCGGTTGCATAGAACCGACGTCGTGGAGATCCAAGGTAAATTACCTTGTATCCGATCTTCGGGGGTTTAGTACTGTAACCGACCGGGGTATATATGGCTCCGGTATTTGACAGTTAAAACTAAACAACAATGGTCTGATTTGACAATCTCGTCGTACCTAATTAATAAGCAGGACCCATAGTCGAAAAGTCACATGTTTAACCAGTAAAAAGACCCAGTAATCTATATATTAACATGTTTATTGACATATGGTATAGCTGGTACTGGCCACAAGATTTTCTGGGTGTTTTACCCTGTCTCAAACCTTTGGTATTCGACAGAAGCATCTATATAAACCTAGATGCGGCGGCATTGGCCAAGCTAACTGATATAAAAGCTGAATGCCTCCCTCCCCCCTATTATTTCATAGATATAATAGGCGAGGGAAATCCATATCAGTCTGTTCCGTTCAGTGGCACAACAGGCTATCGTATAACAGAGTACGAGTTTTTCAGGTTTCATCGTGGCTAATGAATTCCTGAAAATTATACCTCTCACATCATTGATTGAGCTGGTCCGATCGCAATGAACACACTATCATCGACCACAATTCCGAATTGATAGGGATAAGCTGTAAGCTGTTGAGCTGTTTTTTGTGAATTGCAACGCAGGCTTCGCTATACAAAAAAAGGATGATTGTCACGGAGACATCTACATGAAGTGACTTCAGAGGTTCGTCATCATTGCTGAATATATGCCATGACTCTATGGATGAGATTGGCTGTAATGACAAAATGGGGTTACGTCCTCGGACTAACTGGTTTGGCCTGGTTGTCTGAAGGTCAAAATAATCATTCCCGGACAGATTAGCTTTACTCGGTGCAAAAGTTTGATCTATGCTACTGTTCTATTCTCTACTATCCCGTAAACCACTTCCTGAGAAAACTTAACCTATGATCTGGATTTTGGACACTCAAATACTTTGGGCTCAATATGGCACACCTGTGTGGTAAGCCATGCATTAGCCTGGGGGTGCTCCCAATCCTATTATTATCTGCACGCTCTAGAGTGTATAAACAATCTTGTACGCAGAGATCCTCCCGTCTCTATACTCTTGGAACCCATTTGGCACTGATTCCAGGCCTTGATAAGATTTGGGATGACTGGGCTTGAGGATTCCTTTCTCCAACCAAGCAGGAAGCTTCTTGAACAACTCCGATGACAGCTCATGATCTTCTTTGGAGGCCTAGGAAGACGACACATTAGCTCGCCCAAAATTTTATATACCAATAGTTTTACAACTTACTGGCCAATTGAACGTTCCATATGAATGGTCCCTGAGGAATGAAGTCCACACCAATACATCCGTGACACGAGTTCCTGGTGCAACATTCTCAGTGTTCGCCTTGCCTGGTCGTACAGTGCACACGTTGCCAACCCCATCTTGCAGGGCCTGTGAGGCAGTAGGCGAAGAGCTAATATTGCCGATCGTATCAAAGGCGTATTTGAGAGTAGGAGCCATGCCTTTGATCTTGCCAACCACATCTTCATCCTTATAGTCGAAGACGTGACGGGCACCATACGAGCGCACTAGATCTGCGTGCCTTGGGCTGCAAGTAGTGATAACTTCCATGCCATACATAGAAGCTATCTGGATGGCGTACAACCCAACACTGGCTATTATAATGAGTTAATAAAATCACTGGAGGTTGATGAACTAGGGTTCGACGTGACTTACAACTACCACCCCAAACCAAAACACTACTCCCTTTATCTTGCTCCCGATCGATAGCCAGAGAGCCTTTGGAGTACAAGGCCAACCAAGCGGTTGCAGCTGCCAAAGGAACAGTACTTGCGTGTTCTGGAGAGACGACTGACGATAGCGGAAACGAGATTCGCTCGTCTGCCAAGGTGTATTGGCTGTAAGCACCCAGACCCTTAACCTCACCTTTGATAATAGATATGTCAACATATTTCGTAATTAATGGCGCAGCAGTTAACTTACCACCCCAGATCAAGCCCGCTAGGATATCGCCTTTCTTATAACGTCGGACGGAGCTGCCGAGCTTAACACATTCCCCTACGAAGTCACAGCCAAGCACAGCACCATCTCCAAACGCATTGCCATCAAGGCTCTGGACTGTGTACAGTCAGCTTTGAAGATGGATTGACGATGCGATGCTATAACGATACCATGCGCAACTACTTCAAATCGAAAGCATTGAGCAAGACTTCACTACTTACCATCAGTCGGATTCTGCGCAACGTGAGAAATCTTCACGAGGATTTGATGATCAGCAGGAACTGGAACGTCAATCTCTTCTTTAGACAAGCGCGGGGACTGCTCGGCAGATCCGCGGTTAACCAAGGCTGTTGTTTTAGAGTCAACAGCCATTGTGAGTGTACCTAAGCTCTGCCTGAACCTAATATATTAGTTGTGATTCGTTGTAATTCCACTAAGGACCAGAGTTGTAGAGTGAGCACCGAGTCACTTTAAATATTGTCGCTCTTGAGTTATGTCCGGTGTCATCGGCATAAGGGAGCTGCTTTTTGAGGTCATCGACAATTTCAAGATTTGTAAGCTAAATATTGTAAGCAAAGGGATGACATGGAAAGTGCCAGGGGGGAGCCTTGAAAGTATCCGAGAGCAGGTGGAAGCGCATTTGGTGGCGATTGTACCGTTTGTGGGATGGCGCATATGTACCCGTGGGGTAAGTAGAAGCGCTTTTGATGGCAATTGCACTGTTACCACTTTTGAAGGCAGGCATAGCCATGGACTGGTTTGACCTCGCTGGTGGGGCTTCTGAAGTAGGTTTTGCTTTCAGCAGAACGTCGCGTATCAGCTCAGACGAATAAATCGCCGAAAGGAACATAATCAAGACTGTTATGCGGACATCCCGTGTGTACTAATGCCTAATGCATTAAGACACAACGTATCAATTGGCTCTAGCAAAGTGTGATTTCCAAGACCCCAGGAGCTCCAATCTTCAATGAACGGTCGGGACATCAAACCTTGCGCCATCGATTCCCGTTACATAATTCAATGCAGGCAGCGACCTACTGTTGAGAGGCAAGAGGAAGGGCCTTATCGATCCTCGTTAAAATTTGAACCATAAGAAAGTAGTCAGATACTTTCTTTGCTTCTCGCTCTCTGCTTCTTTACCTAGCATGGGAGGAGATCAAACTTCGGGAACATTCTGTAGTTCGCAGTCTTTGCGATCCCATTTGAAATGTAGGGCTCGGAACAATCCCCAGGCTCCGAGCTCCTCTGTGTATCGGATGATTACCACACTGTTTGACTCCAAATTACTAGTCGGGAAGGGAGTTTTAGGGCTTGGAAGGCTAGAATTGCCTTTTCATAGACAGAACGGGTGTCAATGTCATTTTGTTGAGGGTCTAGAATTGAACAGTCGTTTGATTGTGGTGGATGTGAATTCCTCATAAAACATTTCTATGTACCGCGTCGAGAAAGAGCGACTACAACCACGTCGGGCTGACCGCCTGCTCACGCTGAAATCATCTCTCACATAGTTATGTACATCTTTCACTTATTACGTACATGAGTATTAGTCAATCGCAATGATCATGGGACTGAGCATCAGCATCAATCACCCATATGGCCGACTTTCTTATTCCGTGTCTCATTGACAAATCGATCCTTCGCCGCTTTCCGGCCAAATCCTTCTTGCTCCGAGCAATCTTCTCCCATATCAGCGAAAGTACTTTGTGGGAATACAGGGAAGCTTTTAGCCATCACGCTGTGGTGCTTATGTAAGATAACGGCGCTTCCACTTTCCCTCGTCCGAGCAGGGACGTCACCGCCCCTGCCCTTAGTTTCTCGTTGCCTGCGCATCGACATATCCTACGTTCCACACCCCCTGCATTTCAAATGTAAGCATAGTACCATGGTTTCTTCCCCGTATAGTGGAGATGAGATAGATGCGAGTGATCGCCCAGTCCGGAAAAGGACTAGAACCGGCTGGTGAGCTTTTTGGCCTGCTTCCTTAGACCTAGTACTGACAAGGGGATCTAGCATTCAGTGTCGCAGCCGCCGTCGCAAATGTAAGTCCGGCCCACTCTCATTTTGTTAAAGCGTGGCAAGGGCTGATATCATGCAGGCGATGGGGCACGACCACGGTGCCGTGGTTGTGAAGCGCGAGGCCAAATTTGTCAATGGGGACTCAAGGCGTCGTTCCATCCTTCACGTACAATTAGTTTGTCACGTCGTGAAGCGGCTTTATTGCGTGAAGTAGAAGAAGGGCGAAGGAGGAGGTTCAGTCGGCATCAGAAATTCGTTGATGAGACCAACATCATCATCGATGGATACTCGACACCTGATAGCCCTTCTGGCAGGCCTCACCTTCTAGGTCAAGATGAATTTTTGCCTAGCCATGTCTCTCGCCCACCCTCACAGCTGATTCCTGGAGAATTGAGTATTGCCGATCTTTTTACACAGCGAAACCTGCCGGCTTCTGACATTCCAGCAAGCTCAAGCGGTAACCATGATCCACCCGCACTCCTTCAGTCCCAGCTGTTTCATTCAGTGTCCAGACCTACGGCGACGGATCTGCAAACCCATCTATACCCTTTCTTGCTAGGCCAGGCAAGGTCAAAGGACGCAACCCCGCAGCCAGTGCCACAATTTCCAGTCACAGATGGGGAAAAGCTTCAACTTATTTCCTCTTTTATACTGGAGACAGGTACCTGGTGTGAGACAACTGACTCCCAAATGCACTTTACCGTGAAATGTATTCACGAAATGATGAAGTCATCATCATTTGTCGCAGCTGCGCTATCACTCGCCTCTCGCCAGCTAGATTATATCCAGAAGCGACAGAGACCTGTTACGTTAGAGCTATACCAATTCACCATTCAGTTACTTCTCCGCCAGGATTCTGTACATGCCGACACGTCTATTTTGGCTACTTGCACTCTTCTCTGCGTTTACGAAATGATGGCTTCGCGAGTCGAAGAATGGAGACGGCATTTGAAAGGCTGTGCGGGATTCCTGCGGGCCCAAAGATGGAATGGGTCTAGCGAAGGCATAGTGAAGGCGAGCTTCTGGGCCTTCGCCCGTATTGGTGAGTAGTCTCATGGACTTCCGATATGAGCTTATGGCTGATTGTGATCGCAAAAGACGTATGGGCGGCTTTTATTAGCGGCAAAGCGACATTAATCCCAACTGAGTCCTGGGTAGACGACATGTCTATTGATTCTGTTTTGGCCAACGGAGACTTGGATGACTATTGCAATCTTGCACACTTAATATTCGCTAAAATTGTGAACGTTCTTTCTACTTCCCAGAATTCCGGAAGAACAACTAGACCAGCTTCGTTGAAAGGCCCCATTTGCGATCTTTGGGACGCAATGCAGAAGTGGTACCAGCTGCGACCATCAGATGCCTGCCCCCTGCTGAGAGTTTCTTCTCCATCAAAGATCTTTCCAGAAGTGTTGCACGCAAGGTCTTCTCCTAGTAAGACCTTCCTCGCTGGACAATGCAACCGCCGCTGACTTTGCAGACTGCGGCAATACATTCTATCATGCAGGTTGTATGCTGCTCCTACAGACTGGCCTCGTTACGCAAAGACTGGAACTTGAGGGAATCGTGAGTCTAATCTAAGCTACAAGTTCATGGGCCTTCATCTGACGAGTTCTTAGAATGATATAATCTGGCACGCACGGGAACTAGTCGGAACCTCCGTTTCAAACCCATCGCAGTATGTTGAACAGCCAGCCCCCTCGGTGTCTTTAGGAGGCGAAAAGGACTAGGCTAATATTTTGTGTTGAACAATGAAGTGCCAACTGGGTCAATCAACTTCAACCGTTGTTCATCGCCGGGGCAGTATTTGGAAATTGCCTAGCCACCCCAACCGTCCGGGATACTCTGTCCGAATCTCTAGGTGATGGACCCTCGGCCCCGAAAAGTTATGATTCTGATGAGTTCTCTTCTGAAAAAATCATCTTGTTGAAACACCTAGCTAGAATTGAACGCGAGACGGGCTGGAAGACCTCCGATCGGGCCGCTGAGTTACGAATGCTTTGGGGATTTGTGTGATAACAATGATTTCAACGACAATCTATATTTGTGGTAGACTTGTATGTCTATTTTAACCCGACGGAAGTCATAACATGCGTCCCATTTTCGTGCAGTTGAAGACGGGATCTTTTGCTTCATGCGCGAGCCCACGAATTGAGGACAACCTTGGACGAGAAAATCTCTCGAACATTTTTCACAGAAATATCTGGGCCCCCCAAAGAGGAGAAATGACCACCCTTCTCGTATTCCCGCCAAAATTGAATGTTGGTAGCCTGATTGGCCCAATCCCGTGGGCACTGTCGAGACTGCGTCAGATAATTTGAAAGCGGGCAGGTTACCAAAGGGATTTCTTACATGGAGTTGTTCCTTTGCATACATGCTCACACCAGTGGGATCAGAAACGTACGTCTCGAACGTCTTTTCAGCTTCATGCACGCCACGGCCGAATGCCTCCTGGTAGAAGCGCAGAGCAGGAGTCGCCCCCTGTATCCAGTATATCATAACCAACGTGATAATGTCATCATCACTGAACGCATCGTGCACATCGGCCCAGTTGCGGGCCTTTTCACAAATCAAGCGAGCAAGCCAACCGGTGAATCTCCCAGAGCAAAGCCAAGAGTTTGAGGCCTAGTATTTTGTTGCTCGAGATATCCGCTCTGATCTTGCTCAAAATTCCGTCGAACCAGCAGTACCTTGTGCTCAAACGACGAGTATGCAATCGCGGGGAAACACCGGCGGATGTAAGTGGCGGGAGCTGAGAAGAGAGTCGGCGGAGGCACTGGGAACATGTTTAGATGTTGAGCTCTGACCAAATCCGGATATTGATGGCCAAAGAGGCGATGAACGATCCGAAGTCTCCTCCATGCGTGACAAGCTTTACGTACCCCAGCACCTCTGTCATCAGGGTCTTGTAGGCGCGGGCGACCACATTCGGTCCGGTGCCGGATTTGGTTGGCGTTGGGGAGAAGCCAAACCCGGGAATCGAGGGGGCCACGACATGGAAAGATGGGTCATTGGCATCTTTCGGTTCGCTTAGTGGCTCGACAACTCGAAGTGCCTCCACGAATGGGCCTGACCAACTGTGGGAGAACAAGAGTTGGATTGCTTTACTGCTGGAAGAGCGTGAGTGAGTGTAGTGCAATACGAGAGTACCGTATCCGGGGACATCGAGCTTCACGATGAAGTGATCGAAAGCGTCGTTAAGGTTTCTCTGCTAATTATCCTTACGTAGAAGATGCTGATTCGGTTCAGGCGGAGTGCGATGTTATTTATGCTATTTGATTGGCTTTGTAGGGCGTAATATGTAGACCCGCACGAAACTGCATCAGTTCACACCACTCCCACTACTCAGCTCTGCAGGTCCAGAGACACGGTTTCCGGTGAGGTCTCCGGATTTATCGTCGCGCTTGGGAGGCTCCCCCGACTCCTCCACCTCCAGCCGCTTCATCACCGACTCAAACATGAAATCAAACGACTCGGCCTCCTCATAACCATGCTTGATACCATGCTCTTTGAATGGGTAGACCATCATGGACCCCATTCGCCGATATACCTCACGAAGAAGCTCGGTTAGCCAGACTATTTCCTCCAACTCCCTCCTGGATTGACTGAGCGCCTCCCATGTTGCCACTAGCTCCTGTTCGGGTCTCGTTGGGCGGCGTCCTGCCTGAACGGTGCGTGGATTGGGTGCACCAATAATCGGAAGAGCCTCCTTAATACTGGTCAGTGGTATCGCGACTAAGGGCGAAGAAACTTACGATAGGTCGTAATATATGACTCCTGGATCAGAAGAACATCTAGATCTTGGCTCTGATGGTCGTTGATCAGTGCTTCCATTCTCGGTGCCGGTTTCATCATGTTTAACTGTAGAACGCGCAGGTTTCTCTCTAACTAGCATCTGGTGGGGTTAGAGGTCGCAGGAGTTAGGCATTATGGATCGCCGGTAGGGTGTTCGCCACTATAATCACTGTGCTCTCACTCCCGGTGGGTATCGTTCACGCTCGTGCTGCCCTGCGTAATGTCCGCATCGCGGTGTTTCCTTACACATCCATGCTAAGTGTCCGAACCGTTAGCATCGGAGACATCTCTTTATCTTTATCTCGCGTCGTTTAACATGGGGGATGTGGTGCTGGTCGTTAACGAAACCGATGCACATATTCTGCTCCTTCTGCGGAGTTGAACCGGATTTCTAACGACGCGAATTTCCCTAGGGCCTTATCCTTCGCTTTTATCTCGGCCAGTTCTTCGATGTGGAAATCGTATTCTGCTAAGCAATAGTCTTACGTGATTTCCTCTGCCGCTTAGGTGGCACCTATTTCTAGGTTAAATTCCTCTGTGGGGGTACAGTGTATAACACCGAACCTCGGTTTAATTAACCAGCTTCGTGTGATTACCTAATTTATGTAGCCACTTAACATTATTACGAGCTATCTTAGTTAACTCCACGGTTTTAAATCGGATGAGATAGCCGGTCTTAGTGCTGCTAATTGTAAGAGTATACAGTTTTCAGGTGTAAGGCCTGTCTGTCGACCGGGTAAGATATAATGACTTGGAGAGGAATGCAATTGTATTGTCTGCGTGTGCCAACACTAATTCTTGCCAAACGGAAGAGTGGGTTCAGGGAATCCTGGACTATCTCAGATGCATGGGGCGGACCTCACGTGACCACAGGGCCAAGCCAGTGTTTATCGATTACCGCTTTGAGCAATTTGTTATGATCCGACTCTTTCTACTTTCCATCCTCCCCAACCCTCGATTGAGGTGCCGTTTGTTTTCGGAGCTTTGTACAGTCTTTCTTATTTAGCGCTTTGCATTTCGGTAAGTCCCATCTCACATTTCTTATGTTCCGATCTTAACGGAGAGCGGCTTCGGCTTCCCGACAGTGGAGCGAATTTTGATTTGATCGTTGCAGGGATACCAAATACTTGCCGGAACTTGATACCCTTTCGCAGACCATCACAGGGTCGCTGTTTTTAATGATCTTCACGCTCGATACCCTCCGCCACACGCCTCTAACTACGTTATCCTAATTCCCCTGCCATAAAAAGACGACCCGCCAAGAATGGAGGCCCTCTCCCCGCGCACAACGAATCAGATGATCAAACCGAAGCTTGCCATGGATCGCAAAGCGTTCGACAAAAATGTCGTGCTTTCGAGTAACAAGCAAAAACTTGCAACATCCAAAAGCTACGCCGATCCGCCGCCGTCAATAGTCTCAGAGCCGGAAGATGGCGGGGAGCGATACTCAATAGGCGCATTCTTAGGGAAAGGCGGATTTGCTGTTTGTTATGAGGGTGCCTTGGCTCGCAATGGTCGGGTGTACGCCATGAAGGTCGTCAAGTCAGCAATGCCGCAAAAAAAGATGGAGGAGAAGGTACGACAAGTCTTCGGAATAGACCGACCGTTTGACAGTGCCTAAATTTTTGTCACAGTTTCGAACCGAACTCCAGATTCACTCGAAAATGCGTCATCCTTTCATCGTCCAGTTCTACCGCGCATTCGCTTTCGAATCTAGCACCTATGTTGTTCTAGAATTATGTCCAAATGGGTCGGTGATGGATATGTTTCGGAAACGACGCTGTTTCAGCTTGCCAGAAGTGCGCCGGTACATGATTCAGCTTTGCGCAGCGGTGAAATACCTACACAAACGTTTCGTCGCTCATCGTGACCTGAAGATGGGAAACCTGTTCCTTGATCACAACATGAACATCAAGGTTGGGGATTTTGGTTTGGCGGCTATGATTTTGTCCGACAAGGACGCCAAGCGACGAAATACGCTGTGCGGCACACCTAACTATATCGCTCCCGAGGTGTTGGATAAGAGCAAAGGTGGCCATACACAGAAAGTTGACATTTGGTCCGTGGGTGTAATACTGTAAGAACACCGCGATATAACCATGAAGTCGTTGAACTAATGTCTGCATGTTAGCTTTGCCATGCTCGCCGGATACTTACCCTTTCAATCCAAAACGCAAGATGAGGTTTACAAGAAAGTCCAGAACCTGACTTATGTCTGGCCCAAGGAATCAGACTCCAGCAACTACATCCCTGAGGAAGCAAAAGACCTAGTCAGTCGTTGTTTGAACCTAGTGGACGAGGAGCGACCAGATCCAGACGATATCGTTGAGCACCCATTCTTCAATATGTACGATGGTTGCATCCCTCGTCAACTGGATCCCTCATGCCGATTCAACAAGCCACTATGGCTGAAGGATGCCTCACCTCAAGGTGATTGTGTGGTAAGTGGATACGGTTTGGACTCAGACGAGAAGCTCCGCGCATATGTATACCAGGTGGATGACCCCGCCCAACGATATCATTCCTGCAAAGCTGCCTTCTATTCACTCTGTGGCGTGGGACGCAAGCCTGATGGGACGGCTCGGAAATCGGTGGGGAGGAACTGCTCGAAGTCAGCCTTTTCCGAGTGTGATGTGGAGGATTCTAGAGGTCTACGACCCGTCATACCCTTGTCGCCAGAATATGTGTACCGATGGCCCCATGACCTCGAAGGAGACTGGTGTCTTGTGGAAAGTTCCCGAAAGGTAATCCGCAGTGAGGAGTCGATGCTTAATAGCAGCACTATGTCACAGCGGAGTGTTTCCATTCGTCCCAACCATATGGCAGCATCGCGGACAAATGCCGCCCTTGCCGCTGCTCAGCAGCGACGAATGGAAGGACAGAGCCATGCCGCAACGCTACGCCAGCAAGCTCGAGTGCCCCCTATATCTCCTCGGAAGACACCTGGAATCAGTGATCCTGCTGTTCTATCTTCCAGGCCATATCGAGATATCCCACAGGCCGAGCCAAAACCTCCTTCCGTTGCGGACACACCGACTGGAGGCCTGGCAGACCGTCCTATCCGCACACGAAGGATGGCATCTGCATCCCAAGTACCGGCACTGCGTAGCAAGGACATTGATATTGTCCCACAACTAGCCAAATCCACAAGCATGCCATCAGGCTTGACTGTAGGCAAAACACGCTCTCAGTCTCGCAGATTGGCAGCCGCTGACCAGGAGTTAATGCAGCCTTCCATCTCATCCAGAGAACGGCAACCATCCGCCAGGCCGGAGGAGCGAAAAGTGGCCACTCGTCAAACATCTCTACGGTCTACATCCAGAGCAGATCTCAGCGCTAGTGTCGGACGAGGAGAAAGACGGAAAGATAGCCCTATCGAAGAGTCCGCCCGATCCTCACTGGCACAGTCTAAGTTTTCCGCCGAATCTAATGGACTTGGTCGATCAGACTCCAATGGTATCGCTCGGTCTAACAGCAAGACAGCTGGTGGCAGGGCACGCTCTAGTTTGGGGCTTAGTCCTCTATTCCATACAGAAGATGCCTGCAAGCTTCTACCCAGGACTTCGTTGACCGAAGTCAACACGGACCTGCGTCTCATGCTGACCAACCTGGTGAACCACGCACCAAGTAGGCGCAGAGGGGGAGCACGAAAACAGCCTCATGCCTATGTCATCAAATGGGTCGATTACACCAACCGTTATGGTATTGGGTATGTTTTGGATGATGGCAGCGTTGGATGTGTTTTTAAGGGAGAGAACGGCCAGCCGGCGACGAGTGTGGTAGTTCGAGATGGCGAGAGACACATCCGCCGAAAAGCGCGTAGCGTCGCAGATGGCAAACAACAACCTATCTACTACTCCGAGGCTGATCAGTTAGTTCCTCGCACTGGTACCTCGGTTGAGTTCTATGAGAATCGTGACGATGACTTGCTAGGATGTCGTGGCATCCGACGAGCATTGATCCCGCCGACACTCTTCGATGTTAAAACCTCGAAAGCAATGAGGATTCGCTCCAACACAGGAACCGAGTTCGAACGAGCCGATGCAGAGAAAATCAAGCGGATGAAACTTGTGGATCAATTTGGTAAATACATGATCGGAGCCCTCGGTCGACATGGCGACGAAGGCATCATGGATGAAGACCTGCCTGAACACAACAGTGCTCAGTTTGTCAAGTTCTACCAGCGCTTGGGCAATGTTGGCATCTGGGGTTTCGGAGACGGGGCCTTCCAGTTCAACTTCCCCGACCACACAAAGCTAGTGATATCTCCCGGCCGCACGCGTAGCTCATCCCCGTGGATCGATTTTTACCACCTCTCGTCCTCCGCCGCTCGATTCTTCGCCTCAAAAGGCAAGATGCACCCAGCAGGATTTGATACTCGGGCCGTGGCCTCCGATGAGGCTGCTACGTTCCTCAGCATCGCAAACGGAGATTCCATCAATTCGACCGAAGACCGTATCCGGGATATCCTCGACTCGAACGCCTTCATTCAGAAAATCGCCTTCATCAAAGATACCCTCAGAGTTTGGATTAAGTTCGGGCGACTTGGAGGTCGTCCACCCTCAATTGCCTCCTCTTCTGATGAATCAATGCCTGATGAAGCATTCTGGCAAGGAACACAGGAGCGTTCGCAGCCCAATAGCCCCGGAACGAAGTTTGTCTGGGTGACTGTCGGAGCACCAGATGGCGATGGCCACTATCGTTCCATGATGCTCAAAGATAGTGATCGGGAGCTAGGGGAAAAGCACGCTGGGATGGAATACGACAAAGAAATGGATGTACTAAAAGACCGGCTACGTGCACTTGGTCGTTGATTGAATCTGCATTTTTCTCCTTCTGCTATTTATCATGTCCACTTTATGATGTCACGACCTTTTGTTTTGGTTTCTGGTGTAATGCTTTCTGTTTATTATCGTGGGACGCGATCGCGAATGTTAGAAGCTCAGCTTCCCAAGTTGTCAATAGTCCTTGCTCAGCACTGTTTTTGCTTTTTCTGCGGTTACTTGCAGCAATATAAATGCCATGCACTTTTCCGTATAACTGTCCGTGTGGTGACCCTAATCCTCCAGCTCGTACGCTTAAATCTCCCCCAGCTCGGGCCATGCGTGCTGTACTGCTTCCTCGCTGTCCCTTTGTCAAATTGTCCTCAGACGTTCGCACCCTGTAAAGAAGCTCTCGACTCTGCGTTCAAACAGCTGCATTTTTTTACGCCTTGCATCTCTTGTAGTTTGACGAACAACTCCCCTATGAAACTATAGATCGCCATAACTGCATTTTCACATACACTCTCCTAACCCTCCATCTCCCCAAGCTATAACATGGAAGCCCTCTCCTGCCAGCTCTAAGGCCCCGGCGACGCCAGGTTTGGCTGTGCTTATTGAGCCAATGGCTGTTGCTGTGCCTTCTGTGTGTACTGGAGCCAAGTTGTGCATTCAGACAGCCTTTTCGTTTACTTCGGGTTAAGGGCTCTTTTGTTCACGCTGGGTTGGGGAATGGGAATGTCAATTTTCCTATTTTAACGGTTTTGGAGCATGAGACCACCGTGGTCCTTCCGGTATGGGCCTGGAGACTTTAAGCTGACATTGGAGATAGTTATGTTGGAGAAGGTTAAGTTAAAGCTGCATATCACCAAGATCGTGCCCTTCAAGAATGCTGTAGATGCCTGGAAGACCACAAAGAGAGGCAAAGGGATCAAGAGAATCAACTGATATGAATGGAAACTTCGATGATCAACATCAGTAAGCGTCATTGCTTTGTACATTATAGACCTCCATTTGTCATATCAAGAAAGAACATTCGCTACCAAGCCCAAGGTCGAGGCTCTGTAACTGCTCTCCGGTCTGTCCGCATCTTCAAGTCCTTCAAACTGTCAATAGACTCATCATCATCATACTCATCACGCAGACCTTGGTTCGTTTCCAATGCACGATCAAGGTCATATTGTTCAGTGAAGAGGCTGATCAACATCGCCACACCCGACACACCACAGCAGACTATCCACACCGTGCGTAAACTGTCCGTATACGCTTCCTTGAGGTTTGCCTTATCAGCGCCATCCGCCATCGCCTTGATAACTTGGACCAAGCCCGCAGCCTCCTTGCTATAAGCCTCAGCCATAGGAGCCAAAGCAGGATATCTCGAGATATTGGTGAACATGCGGTTCTGGAAGACCACACCACCGACAGCAACGCCGATAGCTTGGCCGAGAGCACGGAAAAAACTAAACATGGCAACCGCAATAGCGAGGTTCGCAGGGTCAGTCGCGGCCTGCACTGCATAACCAAGAGATGGAAACAGGATACCCAATCCCAGGCCGGGCACGATGTTGAGGAAGATCCAACCAAGCATACTAGTATCCACCTTAATCAGACACATCAAACCGAGTCCAACAGTCGAAAAAGCCCATCCGATCCAGATCGCCCACCTGTAACGGCCTGTAATCGTGATTAGGATGCCAGCTACCATCCCGCTCGGAGCCACAGTAAATGTCTCGGGGAATAGGGCAACGCCTGAGATAATGGGACTATACTCCTTCACTGCCTCATAATACAGAGGGAGATAATATAGGGCACACCATAAGATCAACCCTTGCAAAACACTCCCAATGAAAGAAGCTGTTGCGGTGCGGTTCTGGAATATCACAGGTGGGACAATCGGATCGGATGCGAAGTAATACTCGTAGAATCCAAAAACGATCAGGCCGACTCCTCCTACACAGAGAGGTGCAAGCGTTTGCCACGAGTCCCAGTCGTATGAGATACCACCCCAGCTGAGTGGGATCAAGAAGGACGACATGCTGCTAACGAATAGCACGGTGCCGAAATAATCGATCCGACGGAGCTTCTCGACTAATGAACTGGGAGCAAGCTTGAGGTTCAAGAATAGGACCACGAGAATTCCACCAACCCCGATAAATGGGAAGTTGATATAGAAGATCCATCTCTGCTTATAGTTAGCCTTGAAATATATACAAATTCACCGTAGACCAACTAACCCAAGACACATTTTCGGAAAATCCACCACCAAGAATAGGACCCGTCACGGATCCAACACTCCACATTGCACTGAGAATACCGAAGTACTGACCACGCCATCGTAGAGGGACAAGATCAGTTATAATGACTTCGCTTAGGGAGATAATGCCACCTCCGCCAACACCTTGAATTGATCTGCCGACCAACATGTAGGGAAAATTATTGGCGATTGCTGAAATTACAGCGCCGACACAGAAAAATAAGAGGGAGATCATGATCATAGGTCGACGACCGAAGATATTTGAGAAGGAGGCGAAACTTGGTTGGAATACTATGTGCATATTAGACGGATCAATATCGTTTTGGAAACACAATATCACGTACCTGTCGAGCATAGCAGAAATGAGGTCCCACTCCAGAATGCTTCAATGGCTGTTCCATTGAGTTCTTTCGCAATTTCCTGGACATGTTAAGTTCCAAGACATCAGATCCTGTTAGAGTACTCACAGGTAAAGCAACAGATAGGGAAGTCCCATCCAAAGCGGCCATCAATGTGAGAACAGACAAAGTAAAGAAGACTAGGATTCCCCTTCGACCTAAAGCAAATTTCTCATCGTCGACCTTTCTTTTCCGTTGCACATCTGAAGATGCTCTGCTCATATTATCGTCATAAAAGGACCTTCCGGGTCTGTAGAATGGAAAGTCTGAGTCCGCCATGGCGAAGATCCACGGAGATGATAATCTAGCAGTTTGAAGATGAGTGGAATGTTAGAAACTGCTCTTGCTGGTGGTAGAGCATATAGTAAGGAAGAGAAAAAGACCTTAAAATGGGGATCCGCATTGTAGATAGATGAATACCATCTGGTATAACACACGTCCACTCCACGCGGAACTCACAAGGTCACATATAAAGTTTAAAATAGGACGAACTATTACTCCGCCGTGATCCAGGAACCTAGACTACGCCCACCAGACCTGAATATGCATGTTATACACGGGGAGATTAGTCCCAAGGGTCCCCACGATAGCCCTGGTTGGAGTTTGAATGTGGCCGTAGCAGCCAGTTGGCTGCTAGGAGTCGGGACAATCACTCGCCGTCTTCAGTGGGGGCCCGGGTAACTGCATCAGTTTCTTAATTTTGTATCATTTATTCGAGTCTGACTCTCTTTCTTCTTTGGTATCAGGCAGCCTTCTAGTCGAGATTCTGATGATCCAGGCCGACTTGGTGGGACCACAGTCGCATCCCTACGTCCGCTGACTTCATTCGAGACTGAAATACTTGCTGCGCCTTATTATACCATGGCCCTAAAATTCTGTTTCGATAAGACTCGAGTATTCAAGTCCTGGATACCCGAATATCTCGCCTTTACACTTGTTTCGCGCGAATAGGTCATAGTGCTCGGGTATCGCAAGGATTGAAACATAGTTCGGTTGCAAAGATCTGACATCTAGCCATATTTAAATGTCCCCGGTCAGCGCCTGAATAGATAAATTCTTATGGCTTTTGTACTGCTTATTACCTGCCCTTTTTACTATGACTTTATAATCTTGTCAAATGCCGAGTCCAAACGGACAGATACAGTGTCAAACCACACGGGTATGGGGTAATCCCTGAATCTCATCAGACGTTGGGTACAGATAACCCCCAATGTGCAGTATTGACTAGTGATTTTGTCCATTTATGTGCGTCTATCCTGTTTTATTGCCAGTCAGAGAGTTTCCTGGGGCGGCGAATATAGCTCTGTACTTCGGAAAACATTAGCTGTGACATTGTGATCTTTGATTTCGGTTGATTCAATGAAAACGCTATTTTCAATGACTCTATTGCCTTTTACAAAAATCCAGTCATTCCCACTATTTTTCATCATTTTAACGGTGCAAATGGTAGCCCTGCTAGCTTGAGCACCGTAATCATTCCATCTAATTCAACTTCACCCGAAACCATTCAAGTATGGCTAGAAACTAAGTCTATCTAGCACCAGCTGACCGTGAAAATCTATCAAATGACTGCAGGATTTCACGCCGCTCTTCGTCGGTCATCTGCATCCTGCTTATTTTATAATATCCACTCTTTAACCGTGCATTCACAAGGGCCTTGCGACTTTGTGAGCGAAAAACCGCCTCAATACTTTTAGTGATTCCTTGGAAAGGATAAGCGACCAGTCCGATCCCCGCTAAACGCATGTCCAGGTCAGCTCTGTTTATTTTCATGAATTGAGAGAATTGCTTACCAGAAGGGACCTTTGTTGCAAGCCCAATAGTGCCTTTGGCAAATCCTTTAACCGCACCCAAAGCACCTTCCTCTTTTGCCCCATTGACAGGTTGTGTAAACAGACCGGTGAAGCCATCAGCCATGCCATCTACAAAATTCTTCCCACCAACGATAGCTCCGGACTTCCAATCCTGGATCACGCCGTAATCCTTAGGCGTTTCCCCGTACAGCCGAGGGACCTGCCGGAATCCTTCTGCGGCGGCATGTGGAATGTCGACTACCACCCCTTTGAAGTATGATCCTGTAAATTTGCCAAAGCCTTTCATCGTCGCGCCTGCCATGCTACCTGCGATAGATAGCCCGTTTCTTCTTTTATCGGCTCCGGTTTCGGATCCAGGCTCAGCGGATGGTGACCGACAATTGTGATTTGCCTCGTCGGCAGCAGATATCCTTGTTGACGAGGGCTCCCGTGAACGCGAGCTGCCAGGGAGTGACATGACTTGTACAGATTTGGTCGATGGAGCTGGAGAACGACCACGTTTGTATTCTTTGTATGGGTTGTGAATCATATCGGCGGTGGAGTGCAGCATAGTTGAGCCGGTTGTGGTGGCTGCAGCCAACATTCCGGTTATGGGATCCCAGCGGCGATGTTCAATGACGATTGGATTGACAAGGTGACTGATGGAGTATGATATCCATTGGTTAGTAGGTTCATGTGATAGCTCGAGTCTGGGTACATACAACTGGAGATTCTTTTCAATTATCTTTTGATGTTCAATCAAGATCTGCACGGCTGCATTTGAGAGGTTCACGTGGTTCTTGCCTTTCTTGTATCTCCAGACTGCAACTTCGTTGGGCATTAAATTGCACCTCATTTTGTCCATGGGAAGATTTCGATGGAACGATTCCACGGCGGCGGTTACGCCCGATTCAGTCTGCATTTTGAAGGCTAACTTGCGTGCAGCTTCTGTTGCCCCTGGAGTGAGGCAAAATTGGATAGCAGCGGCCAGTCTCTCAAAGTTGAGAGATGCAAATGGAATAGGTCTGGGTCCAGCACCGGCTCTAGCAATCATGTTGCCCCAGAAAGGTTGGCTAGGAGAGTCAGTACTGATAAAATCTCCCAAAGGCAGTTAAGAATTGATAACTCACTCGCCAAAGAAAGGCACGATCGCAGTCGGTCGGCCATTTTTAAGACCACATGCAGTAGTTCCAGCGCCTCCATGATGAACTACTGCACTGACATGTTGAAAGAGCCACTCATGTGGACAGTCGTCAATATAGTAGATATTCGGGGTTTGACTTCCAACTAGCCCACTCCAACCCTTTGAAATGATTGCACGGACACCTGTCCTTACTACCGCGAGAACAATGGTATCAATTAGCTGCTGAGGGTTCTCAACCACGATACTACCGAATCCGATATAGACAGGAGGTGGACCCTCTTGTAGAAACTCCCTCAGCTCCGAGGGCGGGGAATATGATGGGGGATCTCTGAAGAAGAATCCACAGACATCTAAACCATTTAGCTTTCATCACTGGAACAAAAAGCCATAGTGCTGACATACCAATGTGAGCTAGCCAATCCTGTGGTTTTGGCACAAGGGCAGGAGACCAACAATATGTGTATGGCACTTTCAATGCTTCGGCGAGGCTAGGTCCCTCCGTTGCGGGGATAGGCTCCAGATCTATTGAGATGCGCCATTGATTGATCACATCTCCTAGCCTAAATCATCATGTCAGTCACATAGCCCCTAGCACTCCATGTGTGAGCTTACCCTTGCCATGTCAGCCACTCGACAACTCCATAAGAAACCCAATTTGCAGTTTGATGATCCATAGAAGAGGAATATAGATTGGCGAGAGGATGTGGAAATGCCTTGGTACTACTCCACGGCATCGTAAACATGAGATGGACAGGAATACTTAGAGCTTGTGCGCAATGAACGTGTGCAAAGCTAGGAGGATTAGCAATTATGGCATCTGCAACAAACGGCTCTTTAGTAATTGGATCATCTTCGATGCAGGATCTCCAACACCCATCGAGCATTGTCGCTACCATAGCCTGTTTTCTCTGCACTTCCCCTTCGCGAAGGGTCTTCATTTGTGGAATCAATCCTGGATTCTTGACCATGAATGCCATCAATTCTGTAGGATCTCCACCGATGGAGTAGAACTCCAATTTTGCCTCGTGTACGAAGTCTGCAAAGACACCATGTGTGGCAATCCGGACCCGATGGCCATGTTTTTGTAATGCATTTCCGAGTGCGATGAAAGGCTGCACATCTCCACGACTCCCCACAATTTGAATGACAATGTTGAGTTTATATTCACACGAGGTTACTTGCTTGGTAAGGTCGATATAGTCGGGAGGTGGATTGTGGATGTCTTCTTGCTGCAAGTCGATGATTTTGGCGAGCGTTCTCGCGATATTGGATTCGAGGTTCACATCAATTCGGCCGTCCCCTATAACGAGTATTAGAATCAGCTGACAAATGACCGACATCTTTCATCCATGGATGAATGGCTCGACCTACCTTGTACGTTCCCTGACTCTGCTACGAGTCCACCGTCGGCAACCAATGAATATGGAGGAGGAGCGGACTCTTCTACTCGTTCTTTCCCGGTCCTAGAAAGTGTAGAGGGTCGCATTTTGTAGAATTTAAAGGTGGTGAAAATCTTGTCAAGAATCTGGGAAGGTTGAACTAATAGCAAGATGAGCTATCAATGTGGTCTCGTACTCGTACCCTTCGCCAAATATGGATTAGTGGATCTGAATTAAACATTCAAGATTGAGGCCGTGCATCGAAGCTAGCCCCTTTTAGGACATCCACCCGGTTTTAACCTCCCTAGGACTTACTTGAAGAAGTCGCGATATTACTTGATAGAGAGAGCACGGCTTCTCTGGGGGATGACTTATCTGTGGATGGCAAGGATACTGATGTCGAACACTCTGAAACTGTTAGCGCATAGCTTTGTCTTTTCACTCAACACAAATTATATAACGGGATTATTGTTAGTTGTGGAGGGGATTATACGAAGAATAAAACAAAATGAAAAGTTATGTATCTGCGACCGAAACGAATGGGGGATTTATCATTCGACTATTAGCTCTACTTATGTCGACCAAGTGAAAGAAATCATGGCGCGGCTATAACCTTTAGTCCCTAGTTCCAAATTCTATATTTATCCCAAGTTTTACCTAAGGGTCTACCACAGAAATGCAGGCATAACTACAGGAGGCATATATGCTGACTACAAGATTCAGTGACGAGAAGTGCCCTGCAGCCGCCGAGAATATCAGTCTCTGTTTCCCTACCTTTCCCGTGCTGGATTTCCAGCGCGATCCCCAATTCAGAAATCTCCCCCGAGTCTCGGATTTAGCAGCTTCCCTCGTGCATAGCTATCTGTCCTACCATTGAAATTCCATTCAAGAAAACCATGACAGAATATATCTCCTGAAAGCCCAGATTGGAGGACTTGAGCGAATATCTATCAATCACCATACCTGTAATGCGAAATACAATTGCGTGGCTCGATATCAAGCCAAGCTTCCACAACGTCTCGACCCCCGATGTGGTGTTTATATCAGCCAATGGCTACCTTGGCGGCTTTAGATTATCCCGCAAGGCCATCACTCTAGTCCCTATCAGTGCACGCGAGAGTATGTGTCGCGTTCCGAGGAGAATTTATCCCCGGAGAAAGCCTTGTAATTTATGCAATCCTTATCGACTAGTTGAATTAAGACTTGCCATTAGTAATACTTTGTCTTGATATTGACTCCGCGGGCGTTAGCGTATGCAACCCCTCCTACGAATGTTGCTCAATGCTCTTCGGATTGCCTAATTTGATTGTCTAATACTGGATCTCCTGCTGTAGTTCACGTATGCATCATGAAGAGTAACCAGAATCCCCGCTTGCTATAATAATATCCCTGTCTATAGGGCGGGACTTGAAAGGCTGTGGATAAGTTGCTCACACTCATCCACCCTGGACAGAGTACGGAGTAGATCTTACCTAGTTATGGGTCTACCTTCGTGCTTTCGGGTACGGCTTTTGCTTATCTAGCTTGTTTTCCACTGCGCACAAATTTTCATGACTCAATACGAGGTACATCCTGAATATATAAATAAGAAAGGGTAGGACCACATGGCGACATTTATTTCTAGACCTAAATACTAGTCTTCATTTCTGAGACACCTTGAGCCGATTTAAAGTGTCATCATACCCACTTTGGCCCACAATGTCGAGCAATGATGATCACATCAGACCGGCTCGAAACTTCGAGGCACAGAGTGCATTTGCGTCTACCCTAGTGAATGATGTTGAAAAAGCAGGGCCATCCAAGGTCAGCGAAGCCCTAGACAAACAGCACAAAAGCCTCTTCGGACTTGCAATCGAGACCCCCAAGATCCATCCTGGAAGTGATGCTGTCTTTGCGGCCAAGGCCCAGCTGTTGAATCAGGCCCTGTTGGACATGGGCATGGGGATGTATCAATGGATGCTTTTCTTGACGACTGGCGTGGGCTGGCTTCTTGATAGTGTGAGTTCTCACGTGTCATACAGATAAAAACAGATAAAATCTCTGTTGGGTACTGATTAAGTTCGTTCAATGGTAGTTCTGGGTCATGTCTTTCTTGGTCATTGCCCCTTCAGCTGGAAACGAAGCTCAGTTCTTCTTTCCCGGCGATAACACCGATTACCTCTTCATCAGCTTGTTTGTCGGTCTCACTATTGGTGGCACCGCTTGGCCTATGATGTCTGATATACTGGGTCGGAAGTGGATGTTTACTAGCACCATCGTCTTGATGGGAATGGGCGGCTTAGTCGGAGCGGGCTTGCCTTCCTTCACGGGGCTGTGTGTCGTCGGTTGCATTGTTGGATTTGCCGTTGCTGGGAACCAAGCTGTCGACGCAATGATTCTTCTGGAATCGCTGCCTGCGTCACATCAGTACTTGGTCGCCCTGCAGGGTGTCTTCTGGGGATTGGGACAATTGCTTGCTGCTGCAGTTGGATGGTAAGCAATAGCCAGATCATTTATTGGAAACATCATTAACCAACGTGCAGGGCTTTTATCGCTCTATATACATGTGGCACCGGCCCAAACAAAATGAGCACTTCTCAATCGATGCGCCACAAACGCGCCCTTGGCCATTCAAGCAGCGCCAGCTCCTCCTGTCACTACGTCAGCAACAAAGGCTGGCGATACGTATGGTGGACCTTTGGGTGCATAACTCTGTTCCTGTATCTGTGTCGTTTCGCGTTGAATTTGCATGAAACACCAAAGTTCCTCCTCTCACGGCGTCGCGACGCAGAAGCAACCCAACTCGTCAAGGATATTGCGCTCTACAATAAGCGCCAAACATGGCTTACGGAAGCATCGTTTGCACGGATTGATTCCACAGTTGACGGGTCCGAAGCGGAACTGCGCACGAAATCTCGTTCGCAAGGCCTTGCTTCTTCGCTCAATATCTTTGGCACAGTGTGTCTTGTCCTGCTCTGGAGTGTGATGGGCTTGACATTCGTGCTTCACCAAAATTATCTCGGAAATTATCTCGCTGCACATGGCGTAGCCAAAGTCAGTGCGACAACAGCCTCGAGGTCCTACCTTTACAGCCGATACCTATATGTTGCGCTCTGTGCTATCCCCGGCCCGCTCGTGGCGGCAATCCTGGTCGAAGTAAAGGGCCTGGGACGGAAGCGCACCGGAGCTGGCATTGCTGTTTTGACTGGTCTGTTCATGCTTCTCGCTACCGTGTCCCGGTCTCGCAATGCTGCGCTGGCTTTCGAGTGCATCATCAGCTTCCTTCGCTTTGCTGGCATGGCTACGCTAACTCTATATACTGTTGAGGCTGTGCCTACTACAGTTCGTGGATATAGTCTAGGTGTGGTGGGGTTCTTTTGGGGGGTGTTTGGCTTGATTGCCTATATCATTACTACTTTTGATAGCACAGTGGTTTCCGTCCAAGGTCCAGTTTGGTTCTGCGGTGCCGTTTGGATACTTATGGCTGCTGCGTGGTTGGCGCTGCCGGTTGAAACTCAAGCTAGAGCAGCGGCGTAGACGACTAAGTATGTTGTATATATTCAGATTGTCTTGTGCATTGCAAGTAGCATTACTCCTCAGGAATATACGCCGCAGTTCTTTGCTTTTTCTTGCCACTTTTATTGCCGTCGTTAATAGAATTTTCACTTTGGATCGTCATTATTAGTCTAAATAGCCAAATCTTTCTGTAGGAGGTAAAGCTAGTGGTGTAGAGCTTGAACTGTAGAGTTCGAGAATAGGTATCCTGCTTTGGAGTTGCTCCAGAAGGCAGAAGGAAATTTATGAGAGAGTGTGCTAGGTTTGACAATGCTCGGAATACTTCCTTATTACATTCTATCCGGTCACTCCAATTTCTGTTGTGCATTGGGTGAGCGTATCATCATCACCAGCACATAGTCGGGGTATGGCGAAAAGGTACCAACCTCCCGGAACCCATATTTCGCATACAAAGGTCTTCCAGCCGGAGATGCACCCAGATAAACCTCCACACCTTCAGTATCAGCGCGCGTGAGACCCCATTTGAGGAGCTTCGAGCCCAGTCCTTTGCCCTGGTACGAATGGTGGACACCCAGCATATCCAGATCTATGACTCCCTGTTAGTCTTGACCGTTCTATTCGTATATGTTTGAGGTATACAACAAGCATAAGGTATATTTTGAAGATTTGGAACAAAAACCGAGAAAAAAGAAAAAAAGAAAAAAAAAGGGGGTGAACGTACAATAATGAGGTCTATCCCCCATCCACTTCTGATGTTGCGCTTCCATGCCCCAGAAAAACCGATCGCAAAGCTCCTTATCGCTACTAGCAGGCCACATGATCTGTTCCTCGCGCCGATCGTGATCTGCGGGTGCGGGACGCTTCCATTTTGCGAACGCGACGATGGGGCCACTCTCCGACCCCTCCGTCACCTTGAAGAATATCTCGTTGGACTCGCCTGCAATCGAGCGGGTGATTGCGGTGCTGAAAACCTTCTCCCACCATTCTGTCCCGTCCGGCGTATTTGGAAACATGGCCTTGTCGGCATCGCTACGGAAGGCCGCGTAGAACACTTGCGTAAGTGCGGGCGCATCGGCGGGGGTCGCGGGGTAAACCTCCAGTGACATTTTGGGCTGATTTGAAATGTGCGACAATGGGGTGAGACAATATCCGTAGGTTGTGTATTGAATTGGAATTTTTGGGAGGAAGAGACATTGGTTGTGCTGGGGTGGGGGTGGATAACACTAGGTGGATTACCCGAATACTAGTTGACTAGTAAATACTCCGTACAAGAATGAAGGTTCCTATGATCTTTTTGAAGGCAATGGCTCTGTTCATAGTGGAAGGAACATTATATCAGCTTCGGCGTAAAGGCATCCACGGGTGGTTCATTGTAAGAATTTTACGCGTTCCTTGTCCCTTTTGGACTTAACAGACGGGGATGCATATTGGGAGATGAAGGTTTTAAAGTTGATGCTGTACCCACTGTTCTTGAACCTAGGTAACTCGATATATCTATGGCGATAGGTTTGATTTGCGAATAGCTTCATAATCGTGCCAAGCCCATCCTTCATATCCCCCATGGCCAAAGCTACGTTTCCAACTTTCTCCAGATCAATGTTTAAAAGACATATCTGAAACCCCTGTTCTTTAGATCTGTGGTATCGAGCAGCCGTGTCTCATTAACCTCGTGTTTCTCTTGGTCCTCCGACACGGTCTCCATGCGCTGTTTGTCGCGTCTAATATTTGTCCAATGAAGATAGAACAGAAGGGCGAACCCGTCAACCACACATACAATTAAGCAAATAATGATAGCCAGGAATCCACTCTATCGTATGATTAATTACACTTCCAGTGGGTGATGGAAAAAAGTTAAAAACATACCTGATATCTTGGTGCTTCTCTTTCGAAAAATAGCTGCGGACCGATGATATTGCCGGTGCAGTACATGATGAAGTAAATTGCACTGACGGTAGCTTTCTTTGTAAAGCCACCTACGTTGGAGCTGATCATTGCCATTGAAATAGGCATTGTAGCCGAGTAGATTCCCATGAGAAGCAGGCCTGCGTAACGGGAACCCACAGAGTCGGTGGCATAGACCAGAGCGCTGCCAATGATACTGTTTGAGGTGTTAGTGTTTTGTGAGTTGTCTAACATAAAAAAAAAAGGAAAATGCTGGTACCTTATCACGTTGCATCCGACCATAACAAGGCATCGGCTATTAGGCACCTTGGATGAAATGATACCTCTTAAGGGCCTATTTTAGCATCACCCACATATAATCACTCAAAAAGAAACTTACGACAGCAACACGAAGAGGACAACAACCACACCACATGGTATACCAAGCAACAGTGTGTTGAAAGTTGAAAACCCGAACCCTCGTAGGACCAATCCGTTGAACTGCAACACATCAGCACGAATGCCTTTGAATGTATTCAAGCCATTTATCATCGACTGACCGTTGTGAAGCCACCATTTGGAATATTGCCAGCCAGTATCAAAATTGCAAGCAACCAAGTCTTCACATCCGTAAATGCTTCCATAATCTGCGAGTTATCAATGTTTGAGTTTTTGAACCCAGTTTGGTTCGCCTTCAATCGTTCTATTGCAATGAGCTTTTCCTCTTCGGTTAGGAAACTCGCAGAAGTAGGCGAATCGGGGAGGCGGAAAAGCATAACAATCCCCAAAAGGAATGTAATGATTCCAAAAATTATGAATAGCCACTATAAGATATTATGAGTGATGATGGCTAGGGGTTGAATCCTAGAAAACTCTTCAAGCTCACCTGCCATGTCTTCAGATGGGTTTCAATCTGCAGTATCCCAACAGCGATCAAGTTTCCAATGATCGAAGATAAAGCATTTCCACAAAACCAGACACCATGACGAAGTGGTTGTTCAGATGTTCTGTACCAAAGAGAAGTGATCAATGTAAAGCCTGGGGAGAGGCTTGCTTCTGTACACCCGAGAAAGAAACGCGCCACCATCAAACCAGCAAAGTTCGTAGTAGCTGCATGACAGGCCAGAACGATGGCCCACAAAATACTATATTTTTGTTAGACCTCATGACTGGTAATATGGAAAATGGACCACCTACAAGACCGTAGAAAGATATTTGCCGAGTGGGAACTTGACCATTAACAAGGATGCTGGGTACCTGATAGTTATCAGCCACAATGCAAGATCCGATATCAGCGGAGAGAATATTTACGAGAAGAACAAGTATCCGAAGTAAAATATGCTGGATGACCAATTATACTGGGAGCCGACCAGATGAAGGTCCTCCCGAATACTCATAAGAGAGGTGTAGTTCAATGTCTGCTTATCCAGAAAAGCCATCATGTAGGCGAACAGCATGATTGGAAGGACCCTAGACAAAATTCATTAGTAAAACTCCATGGGAAATTTCAGTCTTCTCAAAAAATCTCACATCAAATCAATCTTCCGAACCAGCTTTTTCTCTAGGCTGGCGGAATATTCGAATGAAGACTCAAGGGTACCATTTTCAACACATTGACCATCCAGCTTATCATTGTACGGCTTGTCCGTCTTACTTGAGTCCTTTGGCATTTTGAAAAGAATGAGAAGCAAGAAAAACTATAAATGGAAGAGAAGTGAATCGATGTGCTGTGCGGCAACAACCTATTTATGTGGGAGGCATGCTTCACATGTGGTATATACTTGGCTTTGATAAAGCTTTCCCCGCAAAATTATAGGTCTGGATAACAGAAGACTGAGATATCTTCTCTCATCTTATTGGCTGTTTCGGCAAACTTGTAAAACCTTGGCACTATGAGGGCGGGAAAGATACCAAGAACTGCAGCCGAAGCTATATAGCTTCTCTGATTGGTCTTCCGGTAGTAGGCTATTTCCCAAGATAACAAGCTCTACTGCCTCGTACTGTGAGGGGCATAATTATTAGGAGTGCAATGTTTTGAATAGAGGCATTTTGTACACGATGTCCGAAATATTCCGACTTCAAGTTGTTAGGGCAGTCGTTATTGCCTCGGGCAAATAGTATATCTGCTCCTCACCCAGTTGGTCTTCCTTCCTTTCTCTATCTCTCCCTCTCGTGGCAATCAGCTCAAAGCCTATTGTTCCATCCCCACCTTGTCTCTATCTCTACCCAGCTCTCAAAAGATAGTGATGCGGGGCAATGAGGAGAGAAGAAAGATTGATTCTCTACAACAAACATGAATAGCTAGTTGAACGCTGACAAAAAAAAAAGGCATCTATCAGTAAGATCGCTATACATCTGAAAAACGTAATTTCCGTCTCAACATTGACTTTGTCACTTCCGTACTTCATCAATTATCCTCAAAGTTTCTCTTCACATCCTCGGCAAATTTATCATCGACAAGAATTTGACAAGCCACTACGGCCATGCCCGCTGCGCAAGTGAGTGCCCTCTTGAAGCCCTCCTCCGATCCTGCACCCTTGGTAAACTCGGGTGTGTGGTTGACTCCCTCGGTGGGAATAGTGAAGACGCCATGGAATCCAGGAACTGCATATGAAACATTGCCTAGACAATCATTTAGAAAATAAATTGCAAACCGGAAAGCCTATTCATTGAAGACATACCCATATCAGTAGACGCTCCGGCTAGTGTGCCCTTTAGTGTCGAGTTATCAAGTAAAGTGTGATGCCCCAGGGCGCGCATTATAGAGACGTAGGTCTCACAGATCGGCAGGTTGGTTTTCAGATCGGAATATGAGATGCCCCTATTGACATAACACAGTCAGTTGATTTTCAACAGAACTCCCAAAGCATGCAAACATACCAGTCAAACTCGACCTTGCAGCCAGTGGCAGTCGCAGCAGCCTCGAAGCATTTCACCACTTTCTCGGTCAGAGGCCGAAGTGTCTTCACGGTCGGTGAGCGAATATAATAATCTACACTTGCAGACATCGGAATGATATTGGGGCGGTCACCACCATTGACAATGACCCCATGGATCTTCTGGGTCGGAAGAATCTGCTGGCGAAGCATTGAAATGTTGACATATGCTGAAACTACAGCATCCAGCGCATTGATACCCTCCCAAGGGGCAGCAGCGGCATGTGCTGGCTTGCCAGTGAAAGTGACTTTGACTTTGTCATTGGCGAGGTATCCACCTTCGATGATGGTTGCCATTCCCATCAGCTCGGGGTTTTCTGGCGCCATCGGGACCGGGTGCACCATAAGGCAGGCATCCACGTCCTTATAGGCTCCTTTGTTGAGCAGGCGCACCTTTCCACCGCCGGACTCCTCGGCTGGGGTGCCCAAAAGGCGGACGGTAAATCCCTTTCCGGATGACTGAGATTTCATGGCCTCACAGGTGGCAATGAAGGCAGCGATCGAGCTGGTTGCGATGAGGTTGTGACCACATGCATGTCCAATTCCGGGAAGGGCATCGTATTCAGCATTGAAAGCCACAACACGGCCTCCAATTCCGTAGGTGTATTCAACCACCAGGGCAGTTTCGCAATCATACGCTTTGCGAGTGACTGAATATCCTTCGGATTTGAGACTTTCAAAAAGTTTGCAAATGTTCTGGTGAGCATCGAACTCTGCGTATGCAAGCTCAGGGTTCGACCAGATCTGACTTGTGTTAGCGAGCTCCGCATTGGTCCCGTTTTCGACCTTACTTTGTGATTTATATCCTTCAATTGCGAATCATAGCGACGAATCGCATCCTGCACGCTGTCGAGGAATCGACTGTTTGATTCGGAAAATCGCATTTTGAGTCTGTTATCAGTAAGGAACTTAGATTCTCGTGAGTTTCACTTTCTTAAATAACTCTTCTAACACTTTCGCATCAATAGGTGGAGTACAAGCGATTTTAAAGATAAAACAGTAAATTGGCCAATCAAACGACTCCCACACGATATATGTATGCTTGGATTTCCCCGAAGTCGGCAACGCATCCATCGGGGTAGCCGATACAGCCAATCGGCATCATCAACTCGGCTCCAGCGCAACTCTCCTGATAGCCAACTTCTCCCCGCCTCTTCCCCTCATATATTTTCTGTTGCCCTGAAGTCTATTAGGCGACTATTGCTGTACTTTAAAATTGATCCTAAAACGTGTGAGCCGAGACAGATGCAACATTGCAAGAGCCCCTTCGCTGGCTGAACAACAATGGATAAACCGGGGAAGACCCGTTCCAGGACAGGCGAGGACCCACAGACCCTCTCACTTCCATCAACATTTGGGGCTAACAGCTCGTAAAGGCTGCCGAACTTGCCGTATCCGCAAGGTGAAGTGCGACGAAGAAAGATTACCAAGCCAAGCGCACGAGGAGCCACAATGTAGGCGATGCTTGGCCGCGAAGATCCTTTGCGAGTGGAATGGCCCCCCAATCCCGCGCAGGTCGACACGTGCCTCAACACATATATCCTCCAAAAGATCCCCAGGAGATGAAGCCAGCACTGCGAATCGCCCAAGGAGTGCAAGGAAGCGATCTCATCCGCAAATTATATCATATCCACAGCAATCACTCTCAACTCGAAATCAACCTTGTGCGCAGGGTCAGAGCATCCAGGCTGCCAATTCTTTGTCACTGTCAGAGTTCGATCGAGAATGCTTGAGCTATATTCAGGATTCAATCTTGGTTGTACTTGTTGGAAAGCACTGGCCGTGGTCAACTGTCTCGTACGCGTACCACAAGATAGCGACCAAAGAACCTATGGTCATGAGCGTGATGTTGGCTAGTGCTGCGAGGGAGATCCACCGGTTTAAACTCTATGATATAGAGAATACCCTCGGTCATCTACCGAGCAGTGAACGATCAGACATGGATGGCAGGGTACATTACGGGCGAGCTTTATCGAGTCTTAGAGAAGCTCTCAAGCAAGAGGTGAAGACTCCACAGCAAATTGAGACTATTTTCATCACACTTTGGTTGATGGTAGATTATGAGAACCGCTTTGGCAGCGGTGCCCCCGCAATCAATATTCATATCCGGGGGATCGAGACACTTCTCCACAACCACATTGTCCCTTTGCTCCAATGTCACACGCACCCAGCTGTTATTGCGGACAGCCAACTCCCCTTGCAGCAGCCTGAATCTCACGTAAACCTTTGTGCTTTGGGTGAATTTACAAGCAGTGAAGACTCTGCTGATCCTGCTCCACCTACAAGGTCTATGATAGACGGACTGGGTGGCACGTCTGTTCCCCTTTTTCTTCTTTGGACACTCTACTTCTTCACTCCTGCAGTTCTTTTCTTTGGCTCTGGGACTGCAAAGCTGGAGACTGACATTTTTCGGTTTTTCTTACGATCTGAGACTGGAAATACTGCGCTTAGCCTTCCTGCACTCTACAGACTGAGCAGGCAGTCGCCGTCCCGCTTCTGGGGTGATGGATACCCCATGTCATCCCAGCTGGATGATTTAGAAAATATCCCGGGCTTGACTCTATATCACCATAGCCATGTGCTCCAATTCAAAATCACGGAACTGTTCAAACATAGTCCAGGTCCAAATATCAGTTTTGGGGAAGGTTCTCCATGCCAGAGGATTACCAAAGAAATAAGCACATTGTCTATTGTGAGTCCATGCATCGTAACCATTGACGATCATCGATTTCCGGCCTTCCTATTTCTAACCAATCGATTCAGGAATATGATACACTCCTCACCTCCGCCAAAATGTCCACATCCTGCGATCTCGCTGGCGATCGTCGCGTCATGGAGACCATTTTCTGGTCAGCTATCACATATTACGGCACAGTTGTCTATTTCCACCTCTGCATCGAAGATCGACCCGAGTTCCAAAGCTACCATAAAATTATTCTCCCTTTAACCACTGCGGTATCTTTAGTCCTGGAACTGAGTTTGAAACTGCACCGAAGCCGGCCGCGCCTTGTAGTCCGGATTACCTGGTCATTATTTATTGCGGGCATCGCAACTTCCGACCGAATTTATCAAGACTGGGTGGCTATTCGGCTACGAGAGCTTGGAAGATACGGGCAAAATTATGAGCGGATTAGTGCACGGTTTGACGAAATTATCAAGGGTGGTCACTCTTGCTTTCAGGAAAGAAGTAGCCATTATTCTTTAGGGGCCTAGCTGAATATATTCTTCAACTCATAAATGATATGGTCTCTGCGACTAAGATGAGGAAAGCACATTGATGTGAAATTATCCGAGGAGCTCCCTTGTATCGATGGAGCCTGTTCATGTCTAGAAAGTTGGAAATGTGACTTTATTAGTTGTGCATGAGAGGCGCAGAATCCTGCATCTAATGAATGGAGACTAGGCCGCATAATCTGGTACGTTGTGATTGGCTTTCTTAGCACGCTGCACATATGTACCTGTATGTACCGGATTTTAGGCCACGGTCGCGAATTTCCAGATCGGGGTGCCGCCGCTTTTGGGAGAGGGAGTGATGCCTGCCCATGTTGTTGTTCGGTTTTGGCTAGAAGTGCCCAGAACTCATCCTTTTGTCCTAGTCTCAGACATTCTTTGGCATCCCGGTATACCTGTTTCAACAGGAGGGAAGGATCCTTAAGTAAGTCTGAAGACGGGGATATGGGGGTCGGAAATTCTGATGTTGGCGAGGAATTCAAAGAGGAACTCGAAGATCCTGGAGACAAATGTGTACCCATCGGATACGACGATACGGGCGCCGAAGACATGGATTTCTGCGAAGAAGATGAGGCTTTTCGGGGCATGGTTGTGGGTTAAAATGGTTGTTGTGAGTTGGAAGACGAAGGGGAGGGAAACGAAAGAGGAAACAGATGGATGAGGGTGACTGCCACCGCGACCCAAAACATTACCTCACCTCATCGACACTCTGGCCGCTTCCTTTTTGTTCACAGTTGGCAAAGAAGGCTTCGGAAAAGCCTTACCATTACCTCAGGTCTTGGTATTTAAAAAGCTTCGTACGCAATGTACCCCTTTAGCTGACAGTACTTCTCGCGTGCTACATACATGTATCTGCCTCCTTTAGACAACTTCCTTGCATCAGGAGTGGGAGTTGGTTCATAAAAAGAATACTACTACCTTCTTTCTCCTCCAAATCATTTAGCTCGCCTAAAAATGAGGTATAAAAAGAAATATGTACTTTGTAGCATTAGAGATGGGGATAAACGTACGATGTACAACATATCGGCACTTTGCTTTGAGAGTGCCGATCTCAGTCAGCCACCGAATGCGATAAATTAGCTTGAGGATAGAGAAAGCAGAGAAACAGAAAAACACAGAAGAGCAAAGCAAAAGCGAAGCAGAACAAAGTGCAAGCCAAGCGAAACGAAAATATCAAAAAGAAAAATTATCATGCTTCCTTGAGAAAGAGGTCTTCAGGAGGCAAATTCTCCCCAGAGGCTGAGGCGGGGGGAATGGCTTTTCCGGGGAGTAAATCAGGGCCGAGCGTTACACCCACAAAGTCCAAATGTACAACGCTGGTCCACAGAACCCACCCTTCCCATGACATCTGTAGGATAAAGAAAACAGAGGCATCGGTTTCGAATGCATTGCAAATCTTAACTTTCATGTTCGGCGGGAGTGAGCGAACGGCTTTTGAAAAGCTATCCACAGCGTCTCGTTGTCCCTCAAGCGTCAGCTTCACCAGCACGTGCTTTTGGCTCACTACAGATAATGGCCGAGGGAGGCTGGATCGACTAGTATCACTAAACGCAAGGCTGATTGCTCTGGTGCCGCTAAACGTTTCAAACACGGCGTGAGGGGCATGCTTAGGCTTCTCGACTTGTACTTGCTGGTACCACTCAGCCGTTGTGAAATTCTGTTGGTTCTTAAACTTTTGCACGGCGCGGAACAGCCTTTGGGTAAACGAAGCGGTATTTGAGCGTACGGACGCAATTCCATGAACTCCACATGCCGCAATGATGTGAATGTTCGTTGTCGAGTTGGGCTGCCGTGCTGCAGCAGCCGCGTGGCAGCAATCGAGTATTACCACAGAATCCACTGACTGTGCAGATTCCAGAGTACCTCTGATAGACCGCCACAGAATTCTTTTATGACGTGACGTAAAGCACAGAGCATCATCATGAAGGCCACTATGACCAACATAAAAGAAAATGAACAGAGAGGGTAGTGAAGACCGGATGCATTGTCCAAGGAGTTTGTTGAGATTCTCTTGCAGGCTCCAGGCTGGTGTTTTGTCCGAATTCGGGATCACAAATCTGTTACATTGGACCCCAAGCGGTTTCAGAATTGATTCCATTGTCACCATATCATTCTCTGCGCCAGTTTCATCGTTTTCCCACCGGACCAATATACCAATCTTTCGCATATGAAACTTGCTCCGTGCGGAAGCTACTTTCTTCAGCGCTGCTTCAAGGTCAGGAAGCTTTCTGATCGAGACTGGTTTGGTTGGGAATGAGATGGGGATAGTGCTTGGGCTTGGAGCCGCAGGTTGCTTTGCGGGTGACTTTAAGCCTGGTAACTGCGACATCTTGCTAAGAGAACAAAATGTCAGTCTATGCATAAAGTGAGGGGACTGATATTAGCCTCACTTCTCGGTCAGATGAGACTAGCAGGGTTGTAGAAATCAGAAGGTTGATCGTTGTTTGAGGAAAAAAGAAAGGAGAGTTAGGAAAGGGGAGGAGGGTGGTGTCTATATCTGTGATTTTGCTGCCTTCCCAATTGGGCGACGACGACCATCCATGGATTCCGTTGGTCCTGTCTATTTTTCTTTTTATTATTTCTATTGCTCTCTTGTTCATTCTATTGTCCTCTTGTTCATTCCTATTGTTAACTCATAACTCTCTCACCTTCAATCTCTCTCTACCCGCGCTTAAAACTATGTAATAGCCCTGGAGGTAAGATACCGGAACTCTGGGGTAGTGATATACAAGAGCCTACAATGTATCCAATCAGTCGCCTGTACCTAAACCCTGCATAATCCTTGGCACGCTAATCGCTCCACTCTAGGACGCCTAATTCTATGAATGGAATCATCCACTGCCCTTAGGATTGATCGTAGTATACTTTGTTAAGTATACATTACAGCGAAGTCCATGTCGTGGAATAGTCACTAGAATATTAGGCATAGATATTGTAGTGGGTAGGTAGGCTCCTAACTACGATCAGTACATATCACCTTTTCTTGTTTTTTTTTTTTTTTTTTTTTTCTTTTACATGTTGTTCAGGAGTTATGTAAGCGAGCATTGGGATTTGAGGTTACTGTCGAAGTCCAAGGTCAATACACGGTGGAGACAGGGTAATTTACCCAGAATATCAAATGACATTTGGTGCCTAGCATACTATACAAAAGTGTATATTACAGTTAGTCATCGATGTCCGCATAGATTGTTGAAAAAGCGGGTTTTGTCATTTATGTTAGTTAGAGTCATCCATATCAATCATTTTTACCATACATTGGTCGTACCACAGATTTCTGTCAGGTTCTTTTAAGGACATTATCTGCCATCAAGAAAGGCATAGTTACTCTTTACAATTCATGGGCCCGGATCGGATGAGGTTCTATGGTTCTTACAATAAGGATTGCTAGAATAGGCATAGTAGTTTTGATTCTACTATGGTTCGTCCTACCCTGTCCTACCTCTATTAAGTCACTAGGTTTGAATTTCTTCTTTCTTTTCTTTCCTTTTCATAAATATCTCTGCCTTTAACTTCAGCAAAAACTCTCACTTATCTTTTACCTTTACTAGGCCTTGACAACTCCCATGGGACTAAGAAAATTTTGGTCCCATATCCTAGTCCCATCTACTCCTATGGGACTAAAGGAATTCCGGTCCTATAACCCTGTTAGTCCCATAGGACTCCCGTAGGACTTATAAGACTTTTATATGGTCCCACGCTAGTATAATTTTATGGGAATTGATAGTTATCAATTCCCTGGGCCGGTCGAATGATTACGTAATACGAAGGGGCGTGCTCAGTTTTACTCAGTGGGCAAACAGCGGCAAGGGGTGAAGCAAAGGCGCACTAAAATGGAAAGGGAAAGCCATGTCGCGAGGCCTAAAATCCGATGTATATGTACATGTACGTACTTTCGAGTTTGCACTTGAAGTGATGGAACATGCCCAGGGGAGATTGGGGACTGCAGACCTGATTAGCACCCAGAAAGATATTCCACTCCCGATTTCACGATTCAACACCCCTCAACACAAAGTACCCTTGAATAATCGAGCTGAAATTCTGTCTCGGCTGAGCCACAATTTGTGTCTATATCCATGAAATGTTCCTCCACTTGCAAATTCTCATAAGCCGAAGATCAAGCGCATCCAATATTTAGGTGGCGATCAGTTGAAATACGTGTGTGGGATAAATATTAAGATTGGATGAGGTTGTAAATATCGATTGAAGATGATCGTGTATTGGTAGGGGTGTCATGCATCTTGACAATCAGTTGTATCTAGTTTCAGGAGTTCCGACTGGTGCATCTGATCTTGCGCATCTCTCTGACTTGAACAATGGTGTGCTCGAGATCGATGTTCAGGGTCGGCCAAGCTGGCTCGACCTCAGGATCAAGGATAAGGCATCCAGGCATCAATGATCATCCTAAGGCCACCAGGTCATGCATAACATGCACACTCTACTCAAATAATCATAGCAGAATATTTTTATCGTGCTAGGTGTGATATTTTGCTCTATAGAGAAAGAGCCTCTCCCCAAACCACCTCGGGATATTAACTCGACATGCTCTGAGATCATATCTAAGCAAAGTGTCGCCATACCACGCCATCTCGCATAAACCACCATCATCTCCCCCAAAAAGGGTGACCGGTTCCAATAAGAACCCGATATTCGACCCGCTCACATGGGATTGTTGCCCGTTGTGATGCCGAACTGTTTATAAGCCACCCAGGTGGGGAAGTTCGATAAGAAAACCGAATGTTGCCCGCACCCTACGACAGTTTTCACTTAAAATCCTCCAATATCCTCCAGTCCAACACACATTTCACAAATATTCAACGCAATCATGGGTGACGCGCGACTCCCATCAGAGCATGTGCTCGTTATTTTCTACCGGGCCATGCCACCAGAGCTGAAAGACATTATCAGAAACAAATTCTCCGATGCCGAGGTCACTATTTACCAGTCTCAGGAAGGTATTCCTGTGCCCTCTGGTAAGTGACTATCATCACCAAAGAATCGATTAGAAATTAAAATCTTGCAGAATTATACCAAAGTGCCACCGTCCTTTTAACTTTTACGGATCTTCCAGATATCAAGGACTCGAAGAAGTAAGCTCCCACCCCAATCGACTTTACTGTCCATTAACCAATATTGTAGCCTTAAACTAATTCACACCTTCTCTGCTGGTGTGGATCATCTTTTACAACATCCGATTTTACGGGAAAGCGATATTCCCATCACTACAAGCTCGGGTATCCACGGTCCTCCGATTTCAGAATGGACCGTGATGAATTGGCTAGTCTCATCCCGGAAATACGCCGTGAGCTATGAAGCACAGAAATCACACGTATGGGCAGATAAAACCCCATATATGCAAGGTATACATGATCAAGTGGGCAAGAGGATCGGTATCCTAGGATATGGCAGTATCGGGCGCCAAAGTAAGTTTCACCCATTATGGCTCGATACAGAACCCACACTTACCACCGACAGTTGCCCGCGTCTCGAACGCACTAGGCATGACCGTACACGCATACACGGCCAACCCACGCCTAACACCTGAATCCCGCCATGATACAGGTTATATCGTGCCCGGAACCGGAGACCCAGACGGTTCGATCCCGGTATCGTGGCACCACGGAACCGACCGAGAATCGATTCACTCTTTCTTAGCCCTCGGGCTGGATCATCTCGTTATCTCACTTCCGCTGACTCCGCAAACAACCCGTCTCCTCGGCGCAGAGGAATTCGCCATTCTATCTCGTAACTGTCATCACCATGCGAGCAAACCTTACGTGACCAACATCTCGCGAGGCAAGGTTATTGATCAGAAGGCGTTAGCCGATGCATTGAATTCTGGGCTTTTGGGTGGTGCCGCCCTTGATGTTACTGATCCCGAACCCCTTCCAAAGGATGATCCGCTCTGGGATGCGTCTAATATCCAGATCAGTCCACATGTCAGTGGTCTTGGGATGGAGTATTTCCCGCGCTCTCTTGATATCCTCGAGGTAAACTTGGGGCGTGTCGCCCAGGGTCGGCCGTTGGTCAACTCTTATGTACGAGGCAAAGGGTATTAACATTTGCACATGTATGCATTGGTGGTGACTGGGCAACTTGAATTTACAGTGTGGCCTTCTTCGAGATTGGGCTTCATAATTCAGCACAAGTTCACCAAAGCGCTGTCCGTATCTTTGTCTAAACAAATATCCGATAGTTATTTTCATACTTTTCATTTGCTCTCTTGAACCGTCCTCTGTAGGAAACTCGCAGCCTATGCAGCAACCAGGTCCAACAATCTCATGTTTGTCGAAGCTACTTGTTGTTTGTCTCGGTAGAATATTGCAACCGTGGCATATGTCTGAGCATTGAGCGTGTACTGGAGCATGGGATTATGTTAGTGCAGGTGTGGGTTCCATATCGATGTGATCAAAAATGATGGAGAAAGGAGTTCTTTGAAGAGCGGTTTGAGAATATGCAGGTAAGTGTGTATAGATTGATTATTGGATGATATTTTGCTTTTTACAATCCAAGTACACGCTGATTGGTCCAATAATAACAGTTGTAGGAATCTTCAACTTCCCTCACTCTTATGGATAATCTAAGCACCTACGCGATTTTGCCGGTTTGGAAAATACCCGTCTTTACTAGGTATGACATTACATGCCATAAGCACCTCTAAACCCCTCCTCAATCACCACACCAATAAACCCGCAACCAGCAACAGCCAATGCCCATGGATTCGCCAAGTCCCGCAAACAAGGCCAGAAACTGTTCTTCTCTCTCTTCCACTGTTGTAGCTGCCCATAGTTATATGGATCATCAGACTTATAGCGCTCTTCCTGGCTAGCCTCAGTCTGCTTATCACCACCCACGAACCGAAGGAAGAGATAGTTCGCGACAGGTCCCAGTATTACAACTGGATTGAATGGACCAGCCATGTTAAGCAAAGCAAATGAAAAATGGACCAATGTGTCCCCGAGGTAACTAGACAACCATTAGCTCATATCATGAACCGGGAAGTGTGATATATATCGCAACAAACTTACTTCGGATGCCGGACCAAACCCCAAACACCGTGTCGACACAAATCCGTCCGTTCCTGTCGGTGAAGTCCAAGTTGCGTATCTGCCATAGCCTCCATCGCAAACCCAGCACTAAAAAGTCCAACGCCAAGCGCCCGAACAGCATTCATTACATCATCGCCTATCGGGACCGTAGTCTGACCCATAGTGAACGGAACTGTGAACGGCAAAGAGATGACACTCAACACAGCAGCTTCCGGTAAGAAGATCTTCAAAAATGCCTTTTTCCAAAAGCCCGGCTCCTTTTTGACTGCGTCGTACCGCACGTCATCTGTCCCGCGGGACAAGGACCGGCACGCGATCCGGGCAAAGAGCCTGGTGCCCCAGAGAGTAACGCAGCTTAGAAGGACCCTTTCTGTCCATGGTAGAGCCCCCCAAGCTGTTCCGAATGAGATATCGTGTTTGCACATCGGTTGCCCGATGGCGGACCACCAAGCATTGAGAACTTGGGCTGATGGCCAAAGCCAGTCTTTGAGTTCGACTCGGTCTGTTGCTTCCGCTGCAATGTAGGTCGCGAGTGAGAGAGATGAATAGAGGCTAAAAGAGGGTAGGAGAGTTGATTTTAGGATTCCTACGTCACCGGGCGTTATATTGTTTCGGAGGGGCGGGGAGTGCAGAGAGCTAGAGGCCTGGTTCTCTAGAGCCGAAGGGGGGATGAGGAATGCCATTTTGGCACATTATCTGGATTCCTGAGGGAGTAAGTTACAAGATGAATGATTGTTTTATAGCTTTGGTGCTCAGGTGTTGATGTCAGGATTATGTAACGGTCAATTCGACCCACGGGCATCCACCCGGGCTATCCATGGGGATGTTCCCGAGTTGCTTTGCCTTGAATTAATATCCGTCTGGCCAACATTCTGACTGCTCTGGTATCAACGTAGTAATGAACAAATCCTCGAGTCGCCCGGCTTCCATGCTCCAATACCACACCTCTTCTGGGCCATAGGTTGAAAAGATATGACTAGGAAGTGAAAAGGACATACTTAAACTAAGGTTAAATCCCAACGAGAAATGGGACTGGGGATATCCAAAGCTCGTTGTCCCCCATCGTACAATTACAAGTAGTCAAGATGCCGTTAGCTAGGCGGATACACCGCAATGCAAACACGAACCTTTCCGTTACACACACCATAGCCTTCGGGAAACAGAGAACATAGTAGCATAAGTTAATAATTCGAGTCTTTTGACGTGTCTTTGTGAACTGTGTACTCAGAGCCTTTGTCCCGGAATTGAAAAAGAAGCCAAACCCATACATAACCTTGCTCGTACTCGAGATTACCATTACGCCAACCGGATGATTATAACCTTGTGATAATTAAGCAGTACTGTGAAATCGAGCAGCACGAAGAGAATATTGTGCCCACAGCGATGTAGATAGCATATTTCTCTTTTTTTTTTTTAAAAAAAAGAGACGAATATACTTTAAATTCCCTTTTGTCTCTTTGTAGTCTGAAATTGGAGAACTTGGCGGCAGGGCACTATATGATCCTCGAGAAATCTGGAGAATCATCCAGGGTCGATCTTTGAAAGCATCAAAGTCCACCTAATATTCTACGCAAGAAAAAAACGACGTTAAGCAAACACTATGGAGCTCCTCCTAGGCCAGGTCGCCACCTTACCCCCTCGGCGGAGGAATAGATTGTAGTGCAAGATGTCCAAACTATAGAATCAGAGGCAATAATATATGACAAGTTGGATGTGAGACACAGGTAAACGAGGGGGTTTCTAGATTATGGCGGTCAACGGAGATTGCCTCTTGGTATTTTGTGGCAGCCCGCATATCATATACACGCCAGTCCGGAGTATGCAGCTCTGATTGATGCTGGGCTGTTTGCACTGGACCCGATGGCACAGTGCATAATGCATGACTCGGCTTCCCTGCTTCTTCACGGAATCTTGTTATCAAACTACCGGCTAGTGGGAACATACATTCAATTGTAATACCGACTAATGTCGTCGCTGTCGAATGGAATAAACTAAATTTTCAGGAAACTGTGAGAACTTTGGTAACGGATTTGTACGACAGTCATAAATGGTAAAGTGTAAAACCTCTGATATTTAATCTATAGAATAAATAAGAGGCAATATTTAAGGACATGAATGATGAGACATAGCCCCGAAGGTAAATATAGGAGCATTCTGGTTATCTTATCAGCCAGCAGAGAGTACCTCTTTCAAGATAGTCTTGAGGAATAGCCGACCCTAATTGTTTTGGCTGTCTGCAATATTTTTCAAATGCCGAGAAATAATGGGGGCAAGATCAATTTGAATGCTCAAGGGCGTTGATTCATCCTTGTTTTTGTATTGCTGCTTCATAATAAGCATCACCCGTTCGTTCCAGAACGGCAGGCAGGTTTCAAGATCAGATGCTGAGAATGCTGTATTTTCGTTATCGTTCTCAGTATATAGATCATCGGGAATATTCCGCTTGAATGAGTTCGAGCCAGATGATAAGTCAACCGAGCAGGTTAAGCCAAGATCATGCAGGTCGGAACCATCAGGTATACGTTCGAAGGGAAGTTTGTTGATGGGTAGTTTGCGAGCCGTTCCATCCTTCGTTGAGGATTTATAAATAGAACGGTCTCTTTCCCGGCGGATCAGATATGCTCGCGGATCATGAGGAGAGAGCGTTGTTGTAGAGACCGGCTCGCCGATCGAAGTTTGCGACGAAGTTAGCGCAGCTTTTGCGGCAAGATACCGACTGCTATGAGGCGAATGCGACGCTGGAGCAGACTGCGAACTGGATGGTTGATCGTTCTGTCTGAAGCGTGTGCGACTGTTCTGAATGGCTTCTTTCTTCCGCCTTTCGAAGTCAAGTGCTTTCTCCAGATCAGCCTCATGACTGGCGCCTTGGTGAAGATGAGCGGCCCATCTTTCAAGAACCGGAAATCCTCGACCACTGTCCATTGACTCTGGAACATGGTCACTCTTGTCTTCGGGTAGCGCAGGCCCATGATCAACGGCTTTCGGGGTGATGTTATTCTCGAGTGGACTGTCCGAACCACCATCATTCTGCCTATCGGTAGTTATAATATTTGGCGAAGTGTTCGTTGGCAATCCAAATCGTTGCTGGGCAAGGAATGAAAGCGGTGAATCCGGTTCCTCACTCGGTCCTTCCTCAACAGGGTTGTGCTCCAGCGAGACTTGTGTAGTCCTCTGAAACCAAGTGTCTAAAGCGCCGTTCCCATAGAGATCTCGATCACGTTCCCTCTCAGCCCGTCGGGCGCTCAAAATGCGATCATTTTCAAGGGGGGACGTAGTCGACTTTTGCGGATGCTCTCGATGGCGGCTCATTGGCGAAGTAAGCGGACTTGTCAAGCCTAAGGTTGGCGAATGCTGGACGTTTTGAGATATACTCTCCCTCCGAATTGGCCCTTGGAGGTTACTGATAGGTAGATCTACGGGGCTTGTTTGGCTGAGAGAATTGCTTCCGCGTCGCGGTGTTTGAAACGAGGCATTTATTCTGGAAATAGACCACGGATTGAGGAAGCTGGTCCGTTTGTTTCTGCCGGTGTCCGACTCGTTGGGACTTTCGGGGCCCTTGTTGCTAGAAGAAACCACAGGCGAAAGGGGGCACTGAGACCGAACCGGCTTCTGTGAAATAGGCGTGTGGGGTATAGGTTCACTGACGGGGTTGTCAGGATCGCGAGGCTGTGTGGCAAGTTCTGTAGCTGGCTTCCTAGCCATCAAAAGTCCAAATCCTCCCGGGCCTTCATTGGATTTGCAAGCATCCTCTTTGTCTTGGTTGGAAGTGTTTGTCTCCGTCCCATCTATCTCTCCGTAGTGGCCGCGAAACAAATTGTCCACCAATGCCAAGACAACATCTCGGTCTTCGAAGAGCAGATCATCTTTCGCTGGCTCGATGTTGACATCGTACGTTCCTCGAGGACATCGAATTTGCAGACAGAGAAAAGGATCGACAACCGATTTGGAGGATTTGTTTTTGGATGCGGCGACACGGACATATGACTTGAAAATTTTGACGATCTCATGACCAATCCCTCTGCTACTAGAGAGAGGGCGGCCATCCACACTGATGTATTGTCCTGAATTGTTGATCTTGGGGGTGTCTAACTTGGTTGGTAATCACATCACCGGATATTCAATAAGACAATCTCACCAAATTGTGTCTTCGGAAGAAAAGCGATGGCTTCATACTCTTTCTGGTCTGATGATCCTCGTTGATTCTCAGTGGTGCCCTGGGAGGAAAGCCGCTTCACGACACAAGAAGAAGACACTTCTGTGCCGGCTACCTTGAGAGCTGCGTCCGAGGGCGAGGCGCTTGCGCTTGGCGCGTACGTCCAATTGCTGCTTTCATTTTTTGTCTTGAGAACTTTGAGTGAAAGCCTCTTGGATGGCTGGGCTATAGCATATGCCTGGAGGAGCTTTTTGATCCTTGTGAGATTTCTCACAGCACCCTTCAAGGCAGTCTGCCTGCGGACAGGAATGTGTTTGAGAAAGTCCGTGATACGGACAGTTGTGCCTACAGGATGTGACGTCCGTTCTGTTCTGCGATGAAAGGTTAGCAGTGGCAAAGAAGGCAAAACCCCGGCACAGTCAACATACCCAGTGAGTTCTCCGTTTCTTCCGTACTTCAAACATAACCCGGCAACTTCAGACTCAATTCGAGTGGTGACAGCGAGGACACCAGACATCTCTGCGACACTTGCAAGTGCTTCACCACGAAATCCCAATGATGACCCGCCGACATTTTTGAGGTCATCTAAAGTTTGGATCTTGCTGGTAAAAGCTCGTTTGCAGACATATTGCTGGTCCTCTGGAGAGATGCCATGACCATTGTCTTTGAGCTGTATGACATCCACAGCGTTTTGGGAAATTTCAACCTGCAACGAGGTAGCAGAAGCATCCAGGGCATTGTCTATAAGCTCCTTGACAACAGAGTACGGATCCGAAATGACAGATGTGGAGCCAATCGCCCGGATTGTTTTCTGGGGAAGAGCCTCAATCGGCATTCTGCACGTCTGGTATTAAATTTTCATCCCCGAAAACACCACAAGTCGTCTCATCCAGCTGACTAGGCTCAAAAAAACATGCATACAACTTCAATGGGTTATATCTGATGAATGTTTGACTCGGCAAATATCGAAGGAGGATGAGACTGTCTTGGTACCCGTGGTCACGTGATGTTGATGCCTTATGCTACAGGCTATAATCCTAATTCGTGGTTTGTATGGTGATAGAGAGGTTTTCTACCTTCCTCTCTCATTTCCTTCTCCGTCTCCCCCACTATAAATCGGTCCGGACTGTGTGTTTCGTTGGCTATGGCAGCATATAGCGACGCTGGGCACTAATCGGTCCACTCATTCAATCAACGCACATGTATGCACGCCACTTTGCTTTTTTTTGCCAGTAATGCTGATACAAATATTTAATTTCAGTTAGCTAATAGTATGTAGCTATCACCGTTTGCTGTATTTAACTGGCTGTATGCATTTGAAAGAATACTGTATTTGAAATCGGTGGTGTGCATGCTTCTGCATTGCACACCTCATCGTGAGAGAAGGCCATATGGCATCATTATTTATTCTTTCCACTCATTGTTAAAGTTGCAATTATACCTTCCCGGAGTACATCCACCTATCTTATTCTGTAGTTCTTATTTATGTGAAAGAAACGCCATTCATCTCGCCAGACACTCGAGACCCAGAGGAAAGTCAGGTTCTGTAAACGAAGTTCCATAATCTTTTTAAGTTCCCGGAATATTTATAATCACTGACTGTCGATATGACCTAAGCGTTCATCACTTTACGGATTTGCGGGATGAGTAGAGATATCGCGCTCAGCCATTCAATGCTGTGGCCTTCCATGAGATTTTTAGGTATGGCTGAGCTCCACATGCCTATTATTGATCTCTGGAACCTATAAGCTCAGAGATCTTAGGGTTATACAAAACAGCCGGCAGCTTGCTGTTCTTCAAAAGGAGCTGTGTCTGCAAATTATCTGTTGCAAATGTTGCAAATCACAACCTTGCAGACGAGAAGATGTGCATAAAGCTCATCATAAGGATTTAGTCTTGCAGTTTATACAGTATATGACTAGGCACACATGGCCCTTTTTTCATGTGCTAGAATAGTATCTATTAGCATAATTCCAAACGATAATGACGAATGTGCACCTACGGGATAAGCAACCTGACACGGCCATGAACGAATAGCATTGTTGGACAATCGACCTTTAGATAGCTGCATCCTCTTGCAGTCGCAAGGTTGGGTTCCTTCTATATAAACAGTTAGCTCACGAAGATAGACTTACCCAAGTGCTCCTTGGGTCTTCAGGGCAAAATGAGACGAGCCGGATTGTTTGACACAATATCAGCAGGGGTACGTACACCAAGACCTTGGCCCCCGAAACCTGTTGTTACTCCAGAAATATGAAGTGCAATTCCGTGAACAATCGCTGGGTTTGTAATTTGCCTATTTAGTCAGCCTCAATCCTTACAAAATGCCGTAGTATCTAAATCTTGTGAGTGAATCTACTTTAACTTGTGAAGCACGGACAAATCTCGGCACGATTACCGAAGAAGATACCACTTCAGGTTGTTCTAGCCAAAGGGTAGTCGAACATGGTATAACCCTCAATTGCATGGTGACGTTATTGATGAGAGAAACTTGCGCTTCACAAAACGGGTTACCCTGATGATCGCTGACATCCTCGGAAGTGTCATGAGGGTGACCATTGCCTTACTCAAATGATAGGACTTCCTGAGGGACAAATGCTTGGCTAGGGGTACTGAACCGTTGGATCATGTCTGGCTGGCTGATAACACCGGGACTATAGCCGTTGACTCACTTGGCATCGCAATCATGTCAATATGCTTGTGTTTATAAGTATAGGAGGGGTTGCATATACTTCAGTCGTGAAAATTTCTCGGGAATATTGTAAACCAGAATGGCTGCGTAAAATCATGTGCAAAGTCCTGTTTCTCAGGGTAACTTCCCAGAAGGGACTTGGGGTCGTACTCTTCGTGGGATTGCATTCATGTCGCAATGTCGCAGTTCTAGAAGACAAGAAAATCTCGGTTGCATACTAGGGATCACTTGTGGGGAGGGCTGAGACATGTGGCTTACAAGTTTCCCAAGAATATAAGGATATAGGGTAAAATGGACTGGATTTCGAGGGATAACTTGGCGAAATAGATCTCCTTTGAGGGTTTGGAATTATAGGAGAGGGCCGACTTTGATTTATAGAAGCATGGTCAGTCCTCATATCTAGAACCCAAGAAGTAGGAATGAAGTGACTCACATGGATCGTATTGCTGAATACACTACAGTCTATGTAGCCATGGTACACAAGGCATTGCCCTATTTGGTATATCTCTGTAGTTATATATTCACTTGGGTGGGGCGACGGAAAAGAGATCACGAAAGAAGTGGAAAAGAAGAAGTAGTGGGGGAGGTTGAAGATATCCAAAAGAAACAAAAAGCGTAGCACATGCTGGAAAGGCCAGCTCATTTGACAAAACACCTTTATACTGTGTGCTGCCAAGGGCGGATAGCTGTATTTATGTATAAAGATGGTATGCTTTCCTCATATTGTCATTAATAGCACATAGGACCTTCAACCTGAAACGCTGTTGATAGGTGGCGGATATCAATGATAAAAATTGATGAGAGATCAAGAGAGAAATCAACATTAATTTCTGACAGAGAGCATATATATATCTCCTACCTAGTAGATACAACGTGACATGTAAGGCACCAATGCAAGCAAGCTGACACTGCATGGAACAACAGGAGCAAAACGGAATGCTATAGATGTAGTTATTATATTAATTAAATATATTAGACGCTTCAGGATCCATCACCTCTCATTCTCTTGCCCCGAACAAAGTAAGTAGTCTCCTAGCAGTAGGTAGGAAACCTGTCAACCCCAAAGAATATTCATCTTTGCTAATATGCTGTCCTTCTTGATCGGCACATTATCCGGGTCATTGTTGGCCTCGTCTATAGCTTGTTGGACCGGTACCAGTTTCAGAGGAAGAATCTGGGTTCGGCGGATCCACTTATAGCCCCCATACGCGAAGAGAACGAGTGGAATGTCCCTGGTTGCAAGGTTAGTAAATTGAACTAAAGGTCGCAGAGAGAAAGACTCACAGATACGACGAGACAAACGAGGCAGGGTCCCAGTTTCCAGCAGTGAAAACTGTAAATCCTCCAGTCAGGAGAATCAGGACGCAAGAGACCAACGCGAACCAGCTTGTGTATCCTTCATAATGTCAGTATTAGAACCCTCCTAAGATTTGATCTGTCAAAACCAGATTGTGATACATACTGGTAATGCGATTATGCCACGGCAACTCTGTTGGCGATATGCCCTGTTTATCCAGCGCTTGCAACAAACGAATATGGTTCAAGGCGATGGTGATCCACGAGACCAAGGTACCAGCCGCAGTCAAATCAACGAACCACCAGAAGACATTCATGGCGTTGTTGGAAACACACATGTAAGCTAGAAGGGAGAAGGCAACCTGCAGCAGCACACACATGTACGGGACTCCCCACTTGGTGGTGCGCAGGAATATCTTCGGAGCGTGGCCCTTGATCGCAAGACCATATAAGGTTCTGGTTCCCGCCAGAATACTCTGGTTCGATGCAGACCACGCAGAGGTCAAGCATACGGCGTTCACAACGGAGGGAATGGCCCTGATACCTGCATCGCCGGCAGCAATGACGAATGGACTCGTAGCCGCGGTACCGGAATCTGAGCCAATACGTTCATCGGCGCTAGAGACCAACATGCCCACGACCAGCACAGCAGCGACATAGAAGATAGACACTCGTGCAAACACCCTTTTGCAGGCCTTGGGAATATTCTGTCGCGGATTTTTTGTTTCAGCAGCAGCCATGGCCAAAGATTCCACACCTGCAAACGAGTAGACTGCATTGGTCATGACAGCCCAGAATCCAAGAAAGCGTCCCAAAGACCCAGTAGTAATATACTCAACGAATGGGCCGGGGTCTTTCCAGTAGTGGAAGCCCCGCCGGGGTACACCTGGCACACCGCCGAGATCAATGACAAGTCCCAGAATGACCACGAAGATAACCAACAGGATCTTTAGAATGGCGAAAACGAATTCGATCTCGCCATAGACACGGATAAAGGAAATAGCGACAACCACAGATACCACTATGAGGATAGTCACCCAGACGGCGGCACTGATATCGGTCCAGTACTGAATAAGGACCACGCTGGCAGAGATCTCACTCGGAACGCTGATAAAGCATCCATAAACAACATTCCAGCCGACGGCAAATGCCAGCGCGGGGTCACACAAGATCTCTGCGTGTCGCACAAAAGAACCAGTGACTGGTAGCAAGGCTGAGACTTCTCCCAGTGCAAATTGAATGCTGCAGACTACCAGGCCGATAAACAGGTAGCCTAGCAGAGCGCCCAGGGGACCACCGGTGGCGATCGAGCCACCCAGACCAAGAAAGAGACCTGTACCCTATAGCAGGTTAGACATAGGTTGCCATCTTCGTAAAAGTCTACATACAATTGCGCCGGCAATGGCAATCATTTGAATATGGCGTTGCCCCAGACCCCGGATCAAGTTTTGGCGTTCATACTGGGTAACGATCTGCCCATCCTCAGCGATGGCAGAGTTCGATGGACCCGAATGTGGGGTGAAATGTTGATCTTCCACATCCTGAACGTTTTGAACGATATATCGACTCCCTGTCTTAGAGTTTTGGTCCTCCAATACCCCTGTCATGGCGTTGCAGGAAAGAAAAAGCTGCCAGCAGAAAATATTTCCACGCTAGGAGGGTCAAGTAGGCTAATCACACCATTTGACTGGTCGATGAGGAGACTAGTTTTTGCTTATCTGGGTAAAAAGCTTCGCGTAACCGAAATTATATTAAAGGCGACATCGGGGGGTGGGAGTTACAGGGGGGCATGCATGAGTTGATTGGCTCATTATTTGCATATGATACCAAGAAGCAATATGCTGTAGAGAGAAGGACACGCAATACATGCATTAATATATGTAGTACAGGGCCTTGTGGTGTCTTTTTAGTGGTCTCAGATATTCTATTAACGTAGCCTTGAAAGACATTTTGTCGCCCTCAACTTTATAGGTAGAGGGCAGAAAAAGGCGGAAACATAAGCATACTTTGTGGGAGACTGGGATCTTCCCTCGGACAGTCTCCGAACTATTCCAAGTTTCCACATTTTGCTGAGTTGAAACAAGAATAAGGCTAGCCCTATATCACTCATATATGTGAAAAAGATCTCATGATCGCAATAGGATTTGGTTCTTAGATAGTATTAACCTGATATATCCCAAGGAGTATCGGGTGAAAGGCCCTACTCCATATGTGGAATATAGTTGATTAGACCAAGAAGCTACCCCGTCCGTGATGATCAACGGTTTTGTTTCTCGCCTTTAAGGGGGAAAACCTTCCTCTAACCCATTTCTGGATGTAGAAATCCAATCATTCAATAACATACGTCAAACTCTATGAATCTTTAGGTGGTTATTGCCAAGCAAACTCTAGAAATAAGCCTCCACCTCTTCCTGGGCGGACGATGCTGAGTAATCAAGGCGCGGCGGGCGCTCGGAACCGCGTCAGATGTAAGAAAGTGACTCAAGCTTCATGCTCACTCTCTCCATACCCCAGCCATGTCGTTAACATTGAAGCTCTCCTCCTTGGTAATCAGGACTTTGTCCAAACCAATTGCTGTAAGCTAGTATCTCGAACTCAATCCTGCCAATTCCATAGGCTGACCCACACAGTCTCAAATCAAAGGCCAAGCCCGCGAACATGAACGGTTTCGCAAGATCTGCGTCTCTATGGCGCAAGCCCTTCACCGATTCGATATGCGTCTCCGACTAGGCACCCTCCGCGATAGTGCCGCGGCACAACGTCGAGCCGCCGCCGAAGCCGAAGCTCGAAAACACAAGCCTTCAATGCCCACCGTTCGAAATGCCGCCGACATGAAAGCCGCAGAGGAGGCAGAGGCCAAGGCCAAGGCTGCGGCAGAAGAGGCAGCCAAACCACACCACTATCACATTCGTCCCCTTTCCGAGTCTAAAGCTATTGAGTCTGGTGCCAACTTCATCTCCGAATCCTTCCTCTTCATTGTTGCTGGAAGCCTGATCCTCTTTGAGTCGTGGCGGTCACGGAATAAGGAAAGCACACGACGGGAAGGCGTGGAAGGAAGATTGGCAGAGCTGGAAAAATCCGAAGAGGCCGCACGTGAAGCTCTGGTGGCACTAGAAAAGGAGCTGCTCCAGTTACGAGCGAAGCACGGTGACTTGCCCAAGTTGTCGACGAAGAGGATTCTGTCTCCTGAGATATATGAACAAGCCCCAGAACCGGATACGCCAGTAGTCGCACAGGGGTGGCTCTCACGCATTTCCTCATACATTTCATTTGGTCAAAGCGCTGCGAACACGACTGCGCCTACCACCCAGCCCACAATAGAAAAGGCGGATTCGACACCAACTCTGGACCATTCTTCTGCATCAGCATCAGCTAGTCAGAGCTCACCATCTGCATCGAAAACCTTGTGATTGTTTATTGGTCAATATTCGTCTAATGTCTAGCGATATCCTATACAAGGTTAGCGCGCATTTCCTTTTACATTCGGTCGAGATACCCCATTGAAAGACCATTGGATATACACCCAGGAGTTGGTTTGTTCTTGAGAGAGTAGTGGTTGCAGGCGGAGTCAGTTGTTGATATTCTCTCCGCTCCTTCCTTGAAATGTACATACATAAATACCACGTCCATAGAGGCAACAACTCTTCTCTTTGATTTATTTTCTCTTTCATCGGTCCTTTAGGCTTGGGTATTCCCCTCTCATTTAAGCTTTCTTGTTTCTCTCTTTGCTATGCGTGCTCAGCCTTCTGACAAGTCGTCTCTCTCTTCTCGCTCCGCTGCGCGTCCGCTCAATTCATCAGTTCCATTTATCCCCATATCTACCCTCACTCCTCGAACGGCAGATAGTGTCAGTCCTCCAACATCCCTTTTCACGTCCACTCTCGCAATGTCCACATCTTCCCAAACGCTCGGCCTTCGGGGTGAATACAGCCCAGAACTGCGGAAACGGGACGGATGGGACAGGCTGTCTCCCACCCTCACTGCTCTGGGAACAATGAAAGAAGGCATAGTAATTTGATTCATTTATTCGGCATCAAGAGCTGACCATATCCTCTAGCTTCGCCGGCGCCGCCGAAAACAGACTTCAGTCGTGAGTTCCTTTAACTCCCTCACAAAAGGTCCAAGTGTTAACTCTACTGCAAGCTCTGTGGGCTGCTCGAGGGGCCGACTTTAGCTTCGAGCTTACCTACCAGAACCGAACCCTATCAACATTTGATGTTCTTCATCAAATACACACTATCAAACTCAATGCGCTTCTGTTAACTCCCAGTCGATTGAATATAACCACGAGACACGAGACTGCGATGGGAATCCAAAAGTTTACTGAAGGCAACAAGAATTCATTGGGGGTGATTGTGTATTTGATGGATGCGAGGTCATCGGGTAATGAACAGATCGAGGCAGTGCAATCTCTCGGTGCATTGCAACACTGCCTTTCACTGGGCTTTTCAGAACCACCCCCTGTTCTTGTGGTGTCAGATGCATCCTACCTCCTGGACTGCATAGGCGCTTACATGAAGAGTGCCTCACGGGCAAACCCGGTGAGTTATAGTCGAACGACAAGGCTTACTTTAGGTTGGTCATTTACTCATATATCGTAATTAGGTTTCAGTCAATGCTCCTGGAGATAAGTCTTCGGTGCCAAAAGTATCTACGCCTGTGTCTACGCCTGTATCTGCATCGTTTCCACCTGCATCGTTTCCGCATCCGAAGTTTCCGCCTTCAAACTTTTCTTCTGCACTCCAGGCCAAAAAGTGAAGCCCTGGGTACATGCGTTGCAGAAGACCGTCGCTTTTTCGAGAGGGGATGTCTTTGATCCTAGGGGTTTGCACCTAATGAGAGTCGACACAATATTCTTGAGCGGTGGACTTTTTCATTGATCGCCCATGTATGGTTATCACATTAGTTACCGCAGAATTCATATCTTCATATCCTTCCATTGGTCCTGTCTCCTATTAAATGTTTGTTTTGTTGCACGGAGACCCAATAATGCAAGCCTCACTTTAGTGGAATACACAAAGCCAGTTAGTTTCTTGATTCATACCCAGGTTTTGCTAAAGAGATTGAATCCCAATATTGCAAGTTCTACTTCAAACAACATATAAACATATCCCATTGTCATCTACAACCTTGCATTCACTCTCTCGTTGTCATACAATTAGCCCCAAGCCTTTGCCCTCGATTTGCCTTTGACTCCCCTTCATACTATATTCCTTGTGGTTCACCACACCCGGTTTCGGTTTTCTTATTGAGTATTGAAGACACCGGTCTAGGTTCGCCGCACACTTGGGGCTACATAGGTTCAAGAATGAGCAGCAAGATTTTGCGTCAGATCAGCAGTACAACTATAAACGGTATGATGGCTTCCAGTAGTTTCCGGTTCGCTGGGCAGGTCAAAAGTTGCTGTTAGGCAGGTGTATAGTTGTCCTAATATGCCCAATGACGTCGGTGTATCTATTCTTGACCGCATGAGCCACAAGCCCTGACGCGCGTGGCTGACTGATGTGGTTCGTGGAAAAAAAGAATTGCCATGGAACAAAAATTAAATTGAGCAATAAGGATCGCCATATCAAAAAAATGAATCTTAGTAACCGGGTACATTGACCTCGGGATATCCAAGTCGCCCCTGAGGCAGCAACGGAACCAGAAGACCCTCTGTGGCGCAGCTGTTTGCTTCGGTTTGACTTGCTGTACGTAAGTCCGCCTGGGCACTTCCCTCTTACAATTACCTAGAATTGGTTCTAGACTTCCTTCTAGACTTCCTATTCACTCTCAATTCCTGCTTAACTTGTCAATAGAATTATCCTATTCAGTTGACAGGTCAGATTCCACATTTGTCGCCTGGGCGCGAGATCAGTTGACACAAGATGGTAGGTGGCCTACTTGCGACCAGATAAGAACCCAACTAACCCTGTGATTGCGATATAGGGTCAGTCACGACGCCCCGTTGGCGGAGACAAAAAGAGTCGCTTTGGGCGCTCTAAAGCAGTCGCCGATGTTGGCGATGGCCGGCAAGCGGGGGGAAAGCCGCAGGTCAGGAAGGCCGCTTTCGAGAGCAGCAAGAAGAAGGAGATCGGCGTGTCAGATCTTACACTACTTAGCAAGATCTCCAATGAGGCCATCAATGACAACCTGAAGCTCCGGTTCGAGCATGACGAGATTTATGTAAGTGACCGCTGTCGCACGCAGACTGCGGGGTTGTGCGCGAACACGAGTACAGGCTGACGAGAGACTACTAGACTTATATTGGCCATGTGTTGGTCTCAGTGAATCCTTTCCGAGACTGTGAGTGTTCCGCGAACAGGATTCGGTTTCCTATCTGCTAACAGACTTGCGATCATCAGTGGGTATCTACACAGATAATGTCCTCGATTCGTATCGCGGCAAGAACCGCCTCGAGGTCCCTCCTCATGTATTCGGAGTCGCGGAGTCCGCATACTACAATATGAAATCCTACAAAGACAACCAGTGTGTCATCATTTCTGGAGAGTCCGGTGCCGGAAAGACCGAGGCCGCGAAGCGGATCATGCAATACATTGCCAGTGTCTCCGGCGGTGGCGATTCTTCTATTCAGCAGACCAAGGAAATGGTATTGGCGACGAATCCGTTGCTGGAATCGTTCGGTAATGCGAAGACGCTGCGCAATAACAACTCATCCCGTTTCGGAAAGTACCTGGAATTGGAGTTCAATGCCAACGGCGAGCCGGTGGGAGCCAACATCACGAATTATCTGCTAGAGAAGTCGCGAGTTGTGGGACAAATTGCGAATGAGCGAAATTTCCACATCTTCTACCAACTCACAAAGGGTGCTCCACAGAAGTACCGCGACAGCTTCGGTCTTCAACAACCTCAGTCTTACCTCTATACGAGCCGTTCCAAGTGTTTCGATGTGCCGGGAATCGACGATGTTGCCGAGTTTAAGGATACACTGGATGCGATGAGGGTTATTGGAATGAGCGATGCCGAGCAGGACAATGTGTTCCGCATGCTGGCAGCTATTCTCTGGATTGGCAATGTCCAGTTCAGCGAGGATGACTCTGGAAATGCTACTATTAGCGACCAGTCAGTTGTTGATTTCGTCGCCTACCTGCTGGAGGTGGATTCTGCTCAAGTTAACAAAGCTTTGACTATTCGTCTGATGGAAACTGCCCGAGGAGGGCGCCGAGGTTCCATATATGAGGTGCCACTGAACAGGGTTCAAGCTTCAGCTGTTCGGGACGCTTTGGCCAAGGCAATTTACTTCAATCTTTTCGACTGGATTGTGGAGCGCGTCAACCAGTCACTGACTGCTCGTGGGTCCATCACCAATTCAATTGGTATCCTGGATATTTACGGATTCGAAATTTTCGAGAAGAACTCTTTCGAACAACTGTGCATCAACTATGTCAACGAGAAGCTGCAGCAGATTTTCATTCAATTGACTCTCAAGGCAGAACAAGATGAGTATGCCCGCGAGCAGATCAAGTGGACTCCTATTCAGTACTTTGACAACAAGGTTGTGTGCTCGTTGATCGAGGACAAGCGCCCCCCTGGTGTTTTTGCCGCTTTAAACGATGCCTGTGCAACTGCCCACGCTGATTCTGGTGCTGCCGATCAGACTTTCGTTGGTAGGCTCAACTTCCTGTCCCAGAACCCCAACTTCGAAGGTCGCCAGGGTCAATTCATCATCAAGCACTACGCTGGTGACGTGAGTTACGCCGTGGAGGGAATGACGGATAAGAACAAGGATCAGTTGTTGAAGGACTTGTTGAACCTAGCCCAATCTAGCAGCAACGAATTCGTCCACTCGCTGTTCCCCAACCAGGTTAACCAGGATGACAAGCGTCGCCCACCTACCGCCGGTGACAAGATCAAGGCATCTGCGAATGACCTTGTGGCCACGCTCATGAAGGCGCAACCATCTTATATCCGTACCATCAAACCCAACGATAACAAGGCCCCCAGGGAGTACAACCACGGCAATGTGCTGCACCAGATCAAGTATCTGGGTCTTCAGGAGAACGTCCGCATTCGACGTGCTGGCTTTGCCTACCGCCAAACCTTTGACAAGTTCACCGAGCGATTCTATCTCTTGTCCCCGAAGACTTCGTATGCCGGTGACTACACATGGACCGGCGATGTGGAATCCGGCGCCAGGCAGATTTTGAAGGATACCCGGATCCCTGCCGAGGAGTACCAGATGGGTATTACAAAGGTTTTCGTCAAGACTCCAGAGACACTGTTCGCACTAGAAGCCATGCGAGACAAATACTGGCATAACATGGCCATTCGCATCCAGCGTGCTTGGAGAAACTATCTCCGGTATCGCATTGAGTGTGCGATCCGCATCCAGCGTTTCTGGCGCCGTATGACCGGTGGACTCGAATTCATCAAGATTCGTGACCAGGGACACCAAATCCTCCAGGGTCGCAAGGAACGTCGGAGAATGAGTCTTCTCGGCTCCCGTCGCTTCCTGGGCGATTATCTCGGTGTTGGGAATACCGGTGGTCCTGGTGAAATGATCCGCAACGGTGCAGGCATCAGCGGTTCAGATGAGGTCGTTTTCTCTTGCCGTGCCGAGCTCTTGGTGTCCAAGTTTGGTCGTTCTAGCAAACCTGTTCCTCGGATCCTTGTCTTGACGAATCGGCATGTCTATATCGTTGCACAGAGTATTGTTAACAACCAGCTTGTTATTTCATCGGAACGAACCATCCCCGTTGGAGCCATCAAGAGTGTCAGCACCTCGAATCTCAAGGATGACTGGTTCTCGCTGGTTATTGGGGCTCAGGAGCCCGACCCGCTAATCAACTGTGTCTTCAAAACCGAGTTCTTTACTCATCTCAGCACTGTCCTGCGCGGGTCTCTGACTTTGAAAATTGGAGACACTATCGAATACCATAAGAAGCCTGGCAAGCTGGCGACCGTCAAGGCCGTCAAAGATCCGGCTGCCGGAAACGTGGATAGTTACAAGAGCAGCACAATCCACACCAGTGCTGGTGAGCCTCCTAACTCTGTCTCCAAACCTACTCCGCGGCCGAAGCCTGTTGCTGCTCGTCCCGTTACAAAGGGCAAGCTACTCCGTCCTGGCGGCCCTGGTGGCGGCCCTTCAAAATTGTCCCAGGCTGCTCGTAGACCTGTCCCTGCCGCTCAGCCTCTGCCCCGGTCTACCCCACAGCCTGCCGCCGTACCGCAGCCTGCTGCCCAGTCGCGTGTTGTGCCTCAACCGCGCATCGTGCCTCAGTCTGTAGCTGCTGCTGCCGCTGCACACTCACGCAACGAGTCTACTAGCTCCATGATGTCTTCCAGCTCTGGGAGGGCTCCACCACCACCTCCCCCAGCGGCACCTCCCCCAGCCTCAAGAAAGCCCTCCGCAAAGGTCAAGTATGACTACAATAGCGACCGAGCCAATGAGCTTTCCATCGTCAAGGGTGAAATTGTTGAGATTGTATCCAAGGAAGGAAATGGTACGTACCCATAGCATACTTTGTTTTTATCGTAACTAACTTGTCCTAGGATGGTGGCTGTGTAAGAATACAACAACATCGGCGCAAGGATGGACCCCCGAATCCTACCTTGAAGAAATAGCCGCTGCTCCCGCGCCAAAGCCCATTCCGCCCCCACCTCCCATGGCACCCCGAGCCACTCCTAGCCCAATTCCAAACGGTGTTGGAGCTGCTGCAGCCGCAAAGACGAAGCCCGCCCCGCCAGCCCCCCAGCCAAGCGTCCCAACATGGCCGGACGCAAGCCCGCGCCCCCACCCGCTCCCCGGGATAGCGTCGCGAGCCTGCAATCGGGCGATTCATCAGGCGCCAGCGGTCGGGGAACTCCTAACAGCGCATCCAATGCCAGCCTGGCAGGTGGTTTGGCCGAGGCACTGCGGGCACGACAAAGCGCGATGCAGGGAAAACACGACGATGACGACGAGTGGTAGTTGAGAAGTGGATTGTTTATGGTCGGTCGCGGTGTTGCACATTTCTGCGCTTAGCGTTGACCTTTTGCGTTTGTTTTTGTGAGGGCCGTGGCATGTGCATATGCAGGTCAGCCAGTTATTGTTTATTTCTCTCCTTACATTCCACAGTAGAGCCTAGTTCAATATATACCGTTTTGTGCGAATCAAAATCATGTGGAAATTGTCATGTCATTCTGGATGCTATTCATATCTCAACATTCACATGCACGTGCTCATATACCATGCAAACAAAACATTTACAAGAACTTGCTCGCAAGACTCATAAGTCCACTAGCACCACCGCTGCTACCACCACTAACCTGACTCTTCATGTACATCTTAAGCGCCACCTCCGCCGCAGAGTTCACAGCAGACTGCTTATCACCAGACTAAACAATCATTAGCATCATCACCTCACCATCGCCATCACCCGGAATCAAAAGAAGAACATACCACATTACCCCCAGACCCATTCTTCTCATCCCACAACTTCCCAGCCTGAGCCATAGCAAGCCCAATAAGCTTGTTCTTATCCATGCCCTCATCACTCTTTCCACTTCCACTTCCACCGCCACCAGTGAACATCTTCAAAGCCTGCATGGCAGCACCGGCACCAACGGTCTTGGAATCATGAGTGGTGTTCGAGCCATTGCCGGAGCCGTACATGGCCTGGTGGGCATTGGCGGCGTGTTTCTCGTCGATGTCGTCGTCGGACTTGCGGTTTTGGAGGAAGTTCAACGCACTGCTGAAGAGGGACTTGTCTTCGTTGCTGTCGTGTTCCTGGGCGTGGGTGGCGGCGCTGCTGAAGTCATTGTTGTTGTGGTTGGAAGAGTGTTGGTTGGAGTTGTAGTTCTGGGATTCTTGACGGCCGTTGTTGTTGTAACCTTGGTTCTGGTTTCCGTAACCCTCGTTGGAGGAGTTGCCGTAGCCGGAATTGTTGTGGCTCTCGTTGGAGTTGCCGTAACCGGAGTTGTTGCGGCCCTCGTTGGAGTTGCCGTAGCCGGAGTTGTTGTTGTTTCCGTAACCGTGAGACTCCTGACGGCCGTTGTTGTTGTAGCCTTGGTTCTGATTACCGTAGCCTTCGTTCGAGCGACGCTCGTTAGAAGAGTTGCCGTAGCCACCAGATCCACCGTAGGAGTTGTTGATGTTGTTATTGTTGTTGTCGGTGTTGTAGTAGCTGTTGCTAGCGCCACCGCCGTATTGGTTATCGTTGTAAGACATGGTTGGGTTTTGGGAAAATAAAAACAGAGATAGAGTGGATGGAAAGATGTGAGATGAAGATTGCTTTAATAGAAAAACCAAAAGAACAGAATGGAATGGAAGAGCTTCAGCTGAGGGGTTGCGGGGCTGTTGATTCCGATTTGGGCGCTGTTCGATCGGGTCGATCTGAGCTGTAGCCAATCACGAGCGTGTGGACTTATTAGTGGATGCTTTAAGTGGAACTATTGATTTTGCATTGTTTTTAGTGTGTTTTGGAGATTCGGAGGTTATATTAGGAACATATGATGAGTATCAAAAGCAGGAGTGGTGCTCGCACTGGTATAAGGCAAGCCACTGGTATAAGACAAGCATAAGTTGGAATAAATTGAGTGTGGAAGCGCCATGCTTTCGTGTCTACAAAATCTGATATCCGATTAGGCACGGAGGCCTGGATACGTTATGTCATCGGAATATATATACGCCGGTGTAGTCATGTGACTCGGGTCAGGCACCACTTGCCCGTATGCAGACCCGGCCTGGATGGATATCAGAGGACAAGGTTGGATTGGATTGAGAGGCAAGTATAACACCATTGAGACGAGCCTACAGCATATCATGCCACATCCAATACTCTAGAAACAAAGAAACAAATATAAGCCTCCAACTCCATAACCCAGGGTATCAGATGCAGAGGAAAAGGTGCAAAGAATACCACCCAGAAGAAAAAATAGAAAACAGCGAAACAGAGAGACAGAAGCAGACAAAGCACAGGAGATAAGATCAAATCAAAGAATCAACGCATTATGCTCCTCATCCGACAAATTCCTCAAAAATCTTAGTCCCCGCTCCCTCTTACTCAAAACACACCGAGAATCCACCGCCAACTCCTCCTCCGTAACCCATTCAGACGGCAAATCCGTCAGCCCAACCCGCTGTCCAGACTGCTTGCGCTCATACTGCATAAACCCACCGAAATGGCGATCCGTATTAGCAACCCAGATCTCGGCGCCGTCAGGCGCGTAATCCGCGCCACCGATTTCACCAAAGAAATCATGCACCTGTCTTGAGCGGAAGAGCTGTGCGTCGAGGATAGAGATACGGTCCGCAGGTTCGGTGCAGAGGAGAGTACGTGGGCCACCGCCAACAGGTGAGAAGCGCAGGGAGCGGTAGCCCGCAACGTCGGAGTCGATTGTTTCAAGCGGACGCCAGGTTCGCGCGTCCCAGATAATCACTGTTTTATCCTGGTTTGATGTTGCTATGTGGCGCATATCTGGGGACCAGGCGCAGGCGAAGCCGAAGTCGTGGTGGCCGCGGAGGGGGTGGACTGGACGGCCGGTGTCGGATTCTATTACCCATGCGTCTGGTGAGTCGCCGATTACGACGCGAAGACGACTATCTGGGGATGTGGCGGTGCAGTTTATTGGTTGGGCCAGTTCTTGATCGGAGATGAAGATGTTTGTTTCTGTGTCGAGGATGCGGAGATGTCTGTCGTTGGAGGCGAAGACGCCGGTGGGCGAGGGCCCCGTGCGGTTGGGGATTATGTCGACGTGGTTGGTGATGCCGTCATTGAAGTCGGGGGTTACGAGCCCTTTGATGCCGGGGTCGCAGCCGCTGGTGCTGCGTAGGGCGTATTCGCCACAGAACCCGCCTGCGATTGTGAGGCCGTGTGCTGTTTTCATGGTGGAGATTTTGACTGGGCCGAGGAAGCCTGATTCGGGGTCTGGCTGGCTCATGTCGATTATACAGCGTGCGTCACCGGTGGTTGGGGTCCATGAAAACACTTTCGAGCGGGAGGCGAAGTGCACGGTATTAGATGCAGGGGTCGACATTAAATTGCGGAGCTGGAAGTGTTCAATAGACGCTTTGTGTGCAGTGTGCATGGACCTCTCGCGGAAAAAGGTTTCATGCTGTGGAAGGCGCTTTGCATGGCCGGGATGCATGTAAGGCAGGTTGCTATACGGGATATACCAGGCGTCCCGCACTGCTCGTGCATCGGACCGGCTTACTCGTAAGGTTTCGGTCCATGGGATCTGCTGCAGATCATAAAAATCGCGTCTCCATCTAGACGGTCGAACAACCTCCTGTGGTGGTTGCCAGCTAATCATCTTTGCGAGTGGGCGGAGCTGTGCTGGAATTCGACTTTCCGCATGGAAGCCCTGGGGAATTGTATTTATCGAGACCATCCAGTGCTTGATGAATTCATCAATAGTGAGATTCCGCTCGTATGCTACAGGGCAATTAGCTCGGGTCTTTTCTCAAGGGTCGTGGCGCCTTACTGGATGTGTGGATTATAGATGCCGGACGTGGTCCAGGAAATTCCATCTGCTGGTCGGCATAGTTCTGCAAAGGTTCTGTAATAGACAAACCAATGTTTTGAGGGAGATCCACATCAATATCCTCATAACTCATACTGTTATAGAAATCATCGAGATCGCAGTCTGGCATGTCGGCTTCATGCGTCGGCCGGTTCTTGCGCTGGTAATAATACTCCTCTTCATCTGGATAGAATCGGAGAAAGTCTTCAAGCTCATCATCGGAAGCCGACTCGGGCGACCGGGTGTCTTCCATGGTCACTGACTCGTAATCCATAACCATATCCTTGTGGCCATCCTCGCTGTCGATGTCGTGGTCTGGCGCGACGGGGATATTTTGCCGGCCGGCTGTTCGGTGAATCAAGTTCCGAACAATCGCATCCATGTCGATGTCGCCACTCGGGTTCGAGCCAAAGACAAACTCCGGTCCAGCCGAAGAGGTACCTCCCATTGCCGAGTGGTGAAAATGTCCCCGGTGTCTAGGCAGCAAAGAACTGCCCGACTCCATATGTCGATAATAATCCGGGGGACTACCCACACTCGTAACAGCATTGACGACTTCAGACACCATAAAAGAATCGTTGTGCCCATTATTCTCCGCACGCGGGTACTGGGACACTGCAGCCAGAGCTGCAACACCCACGTCATGCAATCGGCGGTCGATCTCGGAAGTCATATTTGTCGGAGCAGATCGGTCGCTGGAAAAAATCTCCGGATCGAGGGTCGAATTAAAGGCCGCATCATCACCGGACCCCCCAGAATGAGTTGGATTCATGACTTGAAAAGGATCGATATCACATGACACATGGCGTGGCGCAGGATCCAAGGCGGGGAAGTCGGGCGGGTTCGCAGAGTCACTGGAATAAATCATCCGCCATGGATCTCTCGACTCTGTAAATTGTATCAACCCGCCAAAGAGCTCAGAGTTCTTCCAGGCACGCAAGGACGATCACGTCCCGAAAAGGTGAGCAGGGTTGACTAGCGGTCGCACAATCGGAGGAAATCAATCCAGTAAAGAACAGCCTGTAACAGAAGCGGGCACTCCACACTGCGTGGCGTTGATTTTCCAAGCCTTTATAAAGGAAAAAAAGACGGGAGAGAGCCGAGTACAACCGCGAAGCCGAAAAAGAGCCCCCTGGAGAGATTTAAAAACGGACAAAAATGTAATCAGCTTAGTAAATGATCTGTAGGCTGATCAAAAAGGAAATAGAGGGGGATGCGGACAGTGCGCGGTAGCCTTTTCCGCAAGGAATGACAGAAGGGATGAGATGCAGAACGTGGGGAGAAACGTGAATGAAACTCTCCACTTTTGATGTCAAGGCATTTATACGGAAAAGCAAAAGAAAACATAAGAATTCAAAAGTTGATACGTAGAATGCAGGGATTCAGAATATTCAGCCCCTTCAAAATGTTGGATTATAAAGATCAAGATATAGTAGATTAAGCATGAACTCTACATCATCTGCTTTATCATCTCAAGCCGCACATATGTAAATAATGCAGGGAGTAAATGCACTGCAGATCGAACTCGGTCAAGCCCGGTGACTTGCGCTTTGATCTTGTCGGGCACGCCTTGGGCTGAATATGGGCCAGATAGACTGAAAAATCTGAAATCTGATAGTTCACGTTGCTTTACAGGGCTATGTCGATTACGCTATATTGCTTCGTATGGTGTCGACAGAGCAACGCTGTATAGGCCAGAAAAAAAAAAAAAAAGATATCGGCATAAAAAATAATCAACTCGTCAGTCATGCAACGCCTCTGGACTATATTATAAGAATATTTGAACGCCAGTATGTAAATGGTACAATAAATCACGTCGAAACCAAATGAATCCGGGAGAAACATAAAGGTGAAGAACAATTAAAGAAAAAGAACAAGCGCTATCGCTTTCGTTAATAATGTGAATATGTGTCATACTGCGATGGATAAGGATCCGTCGAAGCATGAGGCTGTGATTGTGACTGGGCCCAAGCACTGCGTAGACGGCGTTCTGACGAGAATGTTAGAATCGACTACAACAAATCATCCCAAGAGAGGAAAGGGAAACACATACCTTTTTCGAAATCACGCCACCTCTTCATTGTGATCTTCGTGCTATCGAACTCGCCCTCGGCATCACCGTGTCCCTTATCCTTCTCGCCAGCAGTCTTACGGGTATCACCCCAACTGAAGTCATCGAACTTCCAGAATGCGTACATCGGCAGAACAAAATTCCAGATTGGAAGCGAGCAGAGGTAAATCAACATCCAGAGCACGTAGACGAGTTTGTGTGCGGTGACGACGATCAAAACACCAGGCAGACCCAAAACCAGGGCTAGCAGAACCAGCGGGATAACCTGGACGGGTTTCCTGACGATGGAGACGATGACGACGTAGATGGTGAATGCGATGGCGGCGGGGAGGACAAGGGTTCCGATAAGCTCGATGAAGATGACGAACTGCATGCTGAAGCAGAAGGTTCCGCATAGATCGCGGACGAGGACCAGTTCGAAGAGGTTGTGGACGGTACTGTTGATCCAACGACGACGTTGGGAGAGTAGGACAAGGAATGCGTCCGGCACGACGGTTTTGCACACGGCTTGGGGGACGAAGATCTGCTTGCGTTTCGGGAAGGTCTTGAGCATCAGGGTGGTGAGGTAGCGATCTTCGCCAAGAAGCAGCAAGTTCTTCTTGTGGAGGGTGTCGACAACGTTTTCGGAGTAGTGT